TATGACCTAGTCCAAGCACCAAACTGTAGACCCTCAAAGATTTGTTATGTAAACTACAAGCTTGTAATATGTACCTGGAATTTAAATTATACAAATCCGTTGGCATATACCCTTCAGCTGACACAGACTCTGTTGGTGGTGGTAGCCAAATCACAGTAAACCCAAGAGAAGATATTTCTAAAGCTTTTTCTTTGAGTTCCATATACCATCGACCGGATTTATGAGATTCCCAGTTGAAACCTTGGCACAATATTTCAAAACCTGTGCCTGTTCCAGAGGGTATTTTAACAGAGGGTTTTGGTGCCTCAGTTTCCAAAACAACTTCCTCTGAAAAGGTTGGAATGGAGCTCCGGAAGATGCTATAGGCTTCAGCAGCTAGTTTTTCAATTTCTTGAAGAATGCTTTCTTGTGCTTCCTTTGTTTTGGTCTTCTGACTCTTTTCAGAATTAATGCCACTAACCAAGTTCCGTATCTCATTGATGATACCATCAGTATATGCTTTACTAGAAATTTCTTCGCTTGAAGTGTCAGATTCACCATGTTGACCTGGAACACTACTTGCACCAGTGAGGGGAATATAAAAGTCATTTCCTTTAAAATTCAACCAAGTGTTATCATCTAGCTTGAGGACGAAAAGAAATCCAACAATTTCTTCATCTAAAGTGAATAATGCTCTTGATCCGTGTCCTATACTTTTTGGCTGCAAAAGGGATTTTCATGTAAGAACACCAAATGAACAATAGAATAAAAATCTAAATCAAAATAAAGTAAAAAAAGTGAAAAAAAAAAAAATAAAACCTTAATTTCAGATATCTTAATAAGAGTATACAATCAAGAGGATCACATATAATTATATTCTTTATTTTATCAAAAGAAGTAATAAATGAAAACAAAGCAAATGCATGAAACTAGTAAAAACTATTTGCCGACATCTAAATAAGAATACATAAGCTTACTTAACATATTGTTAGCAAGAATAGATATAGTTATGTGCAATAGGAATTTAGTCTATGCTTAAGTTCTCACTAGGAGAATATAATTACAATTCAAACCTGCAATAAAGTACGTAAAGCCTTGTTCTTGAATACAGCTGTTTCCGGTGGATATGGGGCAGCAGGAATTTCCCATGTTTTACTATCATCTCTGCAAACACCCCAGTGAACTAAAACATCTCCAGGTATATCAGTTTCTAAATACAGAACATTTTTGGTTGTATCAGGAGACTTCCTAGCAGCAACACTCACTAAGTTACCAATAGAAACTTCTTTCACAATAGGCTGCTCTTCATAGAATCCTTCACGCTGCCTAGTCTGATTTTTAGAGTCATTCGATTCACTGCTGCTCTTTTGACTATTAGCAGGTGATGCTTCTGCTTTAAGTAGCATGTTAGTTAACTGCCCCAGGGCACCTAGGATAAGGAGAAGCCAAAGAAATGTATCAATATCTCACTGAAATAAGAATGGAGAGAATAGGGAAAACTATGGTCAGAAAAATAGTCAATTGTGTTCCACCCTGACACACTTCATCCCAATTCCCAACCCACAAACTAGGCTCAGATGGAATACTATAACTTATCTGAAAGTAGGCCACTTCAATCATCCTTCTATATTGGCTTCTAATTATACCTGAGAGGTTTTAGTTAAACCTCTGAGACACTAACCAGAAATCACAATTGCACAGACCGCAGACCACAGACCACAGACCACATAGAAAATGTGGATGAAGAAATAAATTGAGCAAACTACTAACCCGCATCTGGAATAACACAAGGTAGATAATAATGAAGTGATTTTATTGATGTTACTCCCTTCCATCTTTTTCAGTAAATTAAGGACTTGCCTCCCTTCGATCCAAGTTAATAATCAGTATACAACCACTGAATTTCATGTTCTATAATATATTGCATCAGTACTGACCAGCATGCATTATCACAACAGAATTTGGTATAAACAGAAAAAGTTATCCTCGATGAATTTAATTTAATAACAGAAACCGATTTATAGCATTAAAAGCTGAAGTCATCCAAAAACAGAATATAACACTTTCAGCAACCTGCCCATATGCCAAAGCCCCTTTTCGGTCCAATCATATTGCCATCATCCTCAAGGTAATCCACAAGAGGGACCTTAAAATCTCTACCTCTGTGCTGATACCAGGCTCCAGTTTCTTCATCCTGCAGCAACATATAATACCGCAAATCAGACCGGAAAAAGAAAGATAATCTAACAACAAGTTTGGCTAATGTCTTAAATGATTAGCATATCTAATATAAAAACATTTTCTCAATATATTGAAAATACAAACCTTTAGGACAAAATGTATAGCTGCAATTCCACTCCTGGGAATTAATTTAATCTTTACTTCATGAAACATATCTCCTTTAGACAGTTTCTTCAAGGGAGTCTCAATCGCATAGTCCTGAAAAGATTCCACTTACTCCATATATTTGTGCTCAAAATGAAAAAGCAGCCTTCTACACAAAAATTAGAAGTCAATACATACTTTAATGGGAATTGAACCAGGAGGTCTCATTTCTTTAGGCGGTTGATCCCATTCACTGCAAAATTTGAAATATGATTTTTTTTTTTTTTAGTACAGAGAGAAAGAAGTTCCCAATACCCTTTTCGTTTAGATAACTAAAGTTGTCCATAGCCAAGTAATATCTTTGCGACGTGGAAATAATATTCAACTTCATAATCTATAAACATATCCAAGAGATCAAGACAAACCTGCCATTATCACCAACATAAGAAACTCCCCAATGAAGAATCCACTTTCCTGGAAGACTACATCCTATTGTAAGCTGCCAATTCCGCTGATCCTTTGATTGATCTAAACTGATGAAAATTTTTCCCTCCACCTATCATTACAAATCAAAGAAATTAATAACCACTAGAAAATAATAAAACATCTAATCAAACCGCAACCTAATCCAAATCAAAATTTTCAGTTAAACTCATAGTAAAACAGAATAGTCAGCTCTGTTCTAGTTGAAAATCGAACATTTTCTAGAAATTATTAACTGCACATAAAATTAAGCCTTACTGATCAACCGAATTTACAAAACTAACATAAAAACTTGAAAATTATCCATCTTTTCCTCCACAAAGTTTCTCAGCAACCAAGCATCCGAGTAAAGAAATCAACTTGAAATCAATTAGTTTCCTTTTTCCAGGTAACCAAACAGAAACCAAAAGCAAAATCGAAGCTATATAAAAAAAAATTCAAATATTTAATACATATCAAGCAACGCATTCGAAATATTTACGAAGCTGAAGATTAAAAACCTTATCAATTCGCTTGACAGGAAACGTCTCTTTGTACAAGACGTCATCGGAAGAAGAGGTGTCGAAGGTGTCAATGAGAGCTGTATCAGTGGAACTGGCGTTGACGACATGAATCTGCCGGCGAGGCTTGAAGCTACAGAAACAAGCGCCCCGGGAGAAGAGAAGCTTTCGATTTCGAGAACAATTCAATGATCGAGACGGCTGTAGCAACACCTTAGCTTTGGGACTAACTGATAGCCTAGGGTTTTGGAGAAGAGAATCTATGGCAACGGTCGCCATGGTTCGTCGCGAACGGATTCTGGATTCTGGATTTTGTTTTTTATTTTTACTATTTTTTTCTTTCTTTTTCTTTTTTTTCTTTACATAGGAATCGTTGAAAATAATAAAATTATATCCAACTTTCTAAGAAGGTGAATTTTGTCTCCACATTTTCAGATTTGACCACGTTTCAAACAAAGCAGGTTTTCATGGTTATCCCTTTTACGTAATTACATTTTGTTTTTATAAATAAAAATAAAAGTTTATGAAAAGAGAAACAAGTAGAGCAACTATAGCCTTTTTGCAATTACTAACTTGACAGTTAAAATCATAAAAAATTGTTATTTATACACGTAAACAATTTATTAAATTATGCATTATAAATTTATTAAATATTTTTTTAAAATAATTATATAAACTAATTAAGTTATATCTCAACTTTTATAATTTTTTCCTTTTGAAGAAATTTACGAATGCAAATTCAGTAGTTATTCGCACTACTATTCAAAACATTTATAGCATAAGGTGTCGTCGTGAGATGTAATAACACATTTAAAGAACTTTTTTTTTCCAGATTTTTTCTTAAAATGTCTGATGAATTTATTCCAAAAAAATCTCTCATTCAACTCTGAAAAGGCCTTTTGGCCAAAGAAAAAGAACTCTCAAAAGGCTTTTATTCCTCTCAAAGCATATATTGGAGTATGGACCACTTAATATCTTCCCCAGGCAATGGCTTAAGCGTGGAAGATCGTATAATAATATCTTTTTAGTAAGAACTTGAAACATCTTGTCTTGTCCCCCTACAAAATACCAAACTTTGTTTTTTTCTCTTTTGGATCTCAAAAAACCGTATCCAAATCCAACCTTTGAATTCCTCTTTTGACAAAAAATTTGGCCATAAGATTGTTTTTCTCATGAAATTATCATCAATTTAATCGACTGATATATGATAAAAGATAGTATATTAGACTAATTATCATTTCTTTATTTAAAAATAATAATTTTGTTATTTTTCAAAAGAAACATCTTTGCAGTATTAAAGTTTGAAAATTTTATTTGAAAATCTCTAATTTACTAAATAATAATTAAATAAATTACTAAGCCCTATCTCATGGGAAAATCGGCTAGGTCCTATCCAATGTCCACCGCATCACCGACATATGGATTGGTGGTAGATCCGTTAATAGCGAGGAACGTGACGGTAGTTTCAACTTTCAAGAAAGAGCTTGAGCCCATAATGCACCAAAATTTTATTAAGCATGGGCTTGGGCTAAAGTAAATTTCTGTTTTAGAAATCTTCATTTGATCCAAATTTTCAAACCCGTAAAAGAGAACAGGCATTACCAAACATCCATGTGTCCAATTTCTTCCTGGACGCCGCGACAACCCTGCTGCGGTCGATATCAACGATCAATAACAGCTAATGTTTTTTTGCAATGAAAATCAACGGTCCACAAACACCAATTATTTATTAATTAAGTTTTTTTTTCTTATCAATTTATTCTTTTTCTTCTCTACCTATTACAAACAGACAAAAGCCAGTAGACGAAACCAGCCCTCGTTTCTCTCATTTTCCTCTCCATTTTCTCGGTAAAAAGGAAGTATGGGGAAGGGCCCTGGTCTGTACTCCGATATAGGAAAAAAGGCTAGAGGTAAAACTTTACAATTATTTTCTAAGTTATTTTCATTTCATTTTCATTTTAACTGCTTTTTATTATTATTATTATTTTTGAATTCAGATCTTCTTTACAAGGATTACCAGGCCGACCACAAATTCATTGTCACTACTTGCACTTCCAATGGAATCGTGAGTTTTTCTTTTTAGTATTTTGATATTTTAATTTTGTTTCTTTTTTCACCTGATTTTACTGAAACTTCTGTTGTTCATTTTGGATTAATTTAATTTATTTGATTTTGTATAAATGAACTCATTTGAAATTTATCAACTGTTCTAGGGTAATGCATATATATGTTTCTCTTATTTTCAATTAATTTAATTTAATTTATTTGATTTTGACTAATTATAAATTATAATGTTTCATAGAGTTTCTTTGGATTTTTTTGTTGGATATTTTTGCATGAATATTTTTATGCCTGATTTTATGATTCATCATGAGATTTATGGTTTTTGGTCATTTTTTCCTTTTTCATGTGCTACCTCTTTATTTAGTTTCTTTAATTTGATATATATGTCAGGCAATCACATCAACTGGGATTAAGAAAGGTGAATTGCTGTTGGCTGATGTAAGCACTCAGCTGAAGAACAAGAACATCACAACTGATGTGAAAGTCGACACTAAATCAAATGTAAGGTGTACAATTTCTTCAATTCACTAAGGGGTTTATATTTCTAAGATCATATTCATGTAGTTGTTACATCATGCATGCATATTCATTCTCATGAATACAAACATAATGGAGGTTTTTGTCCCTTATCGATGTGCAGGGTGGTATTGCCCATTAAAAGTCATGGCATTGAGCCTTCTTTGTTTTTGCTTGACATGTGAATTAGGTGTAGCCTCAGATACTATCTCATTGTGATGTTTGGAATTTGTTTTTCACTTTTGTAGCTTTTCACCACTGTCACTATTGATGAACCTGCACCCGGATTGAAGACTATCTTTAGTTTCATTGTCCCTGATCAAAGGTCTGGCAAGGTAATGGAGATTTTCTTACTCCTGTCATTAGTTTTTTGTTGCTAATACCAAAAATTATCAGCATCCTGGTTTAAGTAATGAGTTGTAGCTATGTTTGCTCTTCCCTTGTGTTAAACTTAAAGGTTTCATGAGGACATGACAAGGTCTTTATTGTTGTTGTAACAGGTGGAACTGCAATACCAGCATGAATATGCTGGCATAAGCACTAGCATCGGATTGACTGCAAATCCCCTTGTTAATTTCTCTGGTGTGGTTGGAAACAATTGTCTCTCTGTTGGGACTGATCTCTCATTTGACACTGCCAGTGGGAACTTTACCAAATTGAATGCTGGGTTGAATTTCACCCATGCTGACCTCATTGCTTCCCTGACGTTGTAAGTAGTTCTTTCGGCAGAGTTGGGGTAACTTTTTAGGTCTACATATTTTCATATTCCCTTATATTTCAATATACTCAGATATGGAACTCCTATTGAATTGCTTTATGTAATCCTGTTCATTCATTAGTTAAACTATTGGCTTCGTGGTGTGAAAATTTACCAAGAAATATCTGCCTGAGTGGTTTTCTATCTTCCGTTGTGCATGTATTCTTTTATTCTATTCGTTGTGCTCCTGGGTTTGATGACATTATTTTGTTGATAATTACAGGAATGATAAAGGTGACAGTCTTAACGCTTCCTACTACCACATTGTTAGCCCATTGACTAACACAGCAGTTGGTGCGGAGCTGACACATAGCTTTTCAAGTAATGAGAACACTCTCACAATTGGTACGCAGCATGCTCTTGACCCATTGACCACAGTGAAGGCTTGTATGAACAACTATGGCAGAGCAAGTGCATTGATCCAGCATGAGTGGCGTCCAAAATCTCTCTTCACAATCTCTGGAGAAGTGGACACCAGAGCAATTGAAAAGAGTGCTAAGGTTGGGTTGGCCTTGGCACTCAAGCCATAGGCAAAGCTATTATTGTTGTGTGAATGAAGGCAGGCCTTGATTTTGATTGGTGGAGGCATGAAGAGAAATAATGTACAAGGATTTGATGGACGTGGATTGTAAAATTAATTGTGATTGGCTTAACTAAAATTAGCAATTTGTTTTCTTGAATTACCAATGGCATAAAGTTCTGTTGAACAAACTTCATGTTTTTTATATCCATCTTTTCAAAGTTAATTTTCTTTTTATTCAATAGAGATTGCTAGTAAGTTAGCTTGTTTAGGAGTCATGGAGGTTAATAATAAAATTTAACAAATCAATGATATGCTATAGAAAGAAGTAAAAAAACAACAAATTAGCTAATACCAAATACCAATGGTGATTGGGTTAGTAATACATTTCGATTGGATTAAACAAAACAGAAGATGTCATCACAAATCGAACCCTCCGGATAGCATAAATAGTTACATGTGCAAGAGGTAGCAACAAACGACACCTTAAAATCTTCTATAAAATTACATCTTCCTTAGGTACAATACCAAAGCTCAACATCTTATTTACAAACAAAGCATATACTACTACACTACTACCATTCTTTTTATACAGGCAACAAAAGTCTAAAGATTTAGAAAGAAGATTCAAATCTTGAGCCTCAACCTATTATCAAGGGTAACAAACGTTTGGCCAAACTTGGATTGCCAGGCTTGTTATTAAAGTAGAATCACTAAAAATACTTTCCATACTATTCCGGGGAAGGTGTTTTTTTTTTTTTTTTGGGTGGTGGTGGGGGTTTACATCGGGCAGATGTTTTGTTGACGAAGCAGGATAGCCGGGTTGTCCAAACTGCGATGGAAGACATGAGGCTACTCAGTGGTTCTGGACCGAAGAAGACCATCCCTGATTTGAGTAGTGATGTATCTCACAGCACCCGACCCGTGTGGGATGAAAACAGAGTTGGATTTCGATAAGGCACCGATCTCCTTCATTGTGTCAAAGTATTGTGTTACAAGAACCATGTCCATGACATCCTTTGATGTTGTCCCAGGTACATTCACAGAGAAGGCCAACACACTGTCCCTAAGTCCATCTACAATAGCCTGACGCTGCCGAGCTATACCAAGCCCAGCCAGATACTTTGACTCGGCATCTCCTTCTGCTTGCTTGATCTGCAATATCTTCTCTGCTTCAGCCTTCTCATTGGCAGCCACCCTCAACCTAGCAGCTATTTGTTACAAGTAAACATGTATCAGACTGATGGACAAAATTTATGTTAAACAAGCTAAACTGTTGGACCATAATTTCTTCACCTGGGGCACAGATGGCTCTTTCTGAAGATTTTAAGCTAGCTAGGACACCAGACATTGACTAACAAGGTAAATTTTCAATAAATTAAGTGCAAAGGAGCCAAATAAAACGGCAAAAACAAATACAAGATTCTAATTCATAAAGTTTCGCATTATACCTGCATTTATTTCATTCATTGCCCTCTTCACATGCTCATCTGGTTCAATATCCACAATAAGAGTCTGAACTATCTCAAACCCATAATGCGACATGGCCTAAAGATCCAAAATAACAGGTATGTTTTAGTCTGCACAATCTTGGTTAGTCCTAAACCAACAAAGTAGACACAGCGATACCTTTTCAAGTTCCTCTTCCACTGCTTTCGCTATATCATTCTTCTGCTCAAATACTGAGTCCACCTCCAACTTAGGAACACTAGCCCGAATAACTAGATAAAAAATATTCTATTAGTTCATCCTCTACATAGAGAGGAATATAATGAAGTTCAGATTAGACCTGAAACAATTGAAGAGAAGAGTCATATCAAAGGTTTAAAAATTTGAGAGGAAACCCTTATTGAAATACTTCACAAGCTGCAATATCAGCTGGATTCTTCATAATCATCCAATCTTATATAACATTGGATGCCCCATGATAATGAAGAATGGTTGATGATGAAGTTATTGGTGGAAACATTCCAATTTCCAAAATCCATGAAACCATATCATAGATATCCTGTAGTTAAGCTAATTTCATCCAAAATCATTTCACAGAGGATGTAAAATAGATGGTATGAGTTGCAATAATATATATATCTATTTTAAGTTAGAAGAGATTTCATGAATCCCCTGACACTAAACAAACAATAAATGCATCCTACTCCTCAACAAAGCAATGGCATCGAGGAGGCATTTCTATCAAACATGTTGGTTATAATAATTGTTTATAAACTTAAAATAAGCAGATAACATATATTAAACATAGAAGAAGATGAGCAGAGCAGTCATGATTAAAGTTTCTACATGAAGTATGGTAAACATAGGATTGGATCTGGGCTCTGGTATTGCTGAGCTTATAGAAAGCATCTTGAGCCTTATCTGCTAAGGCTCGGTACTGAATTGAAGCAATCACATTAACAAACACATTATCCTGAAGAAATTATAAAATATCAGAATCAGCTGGAGTAATTGATGGAGGTCTAGAGTGAAAAGCACACGCTTTCCACTTAAAAGAGCAAAGAACCAACTATAGCATCAACCTTAGCCAATACTTTTTATCACAAATTTTTACAATAACAGCTCTCAAATCAATTTATAATAACTGTTCTTGTTTTAATCCCTCAGAAAATAAATAAAAGTATAAATTAGATGGGAAAAAGGAACTTAAAAAAGAACTTAATTCTAAGAAAAATAATTCGGTGTTCTGAATGTCATTATCAGACTTCATTCTATTTTCTTGAGAATGAAATTTAAGCTTCCATTACTAATGACTCATTCCCCCCTTTTTTTTTTCACATGAGAAGCATTATATCCAACACACACATACTGTGATCTGACAATAATATCTACTTGGGATTGAAAATGAAAATTAAAATACATGTGATGTCAATTATGCAACAAACCTTGGTTTTTGTTTCACATCGAACATCCAGTTGCTGCACACGCAAGGAGAGAATACCAGCCAACTGTTTTCCAAGACACCAAGGTAAACAATGACAACCAGGCTCAAGCACATCATCAAACTTCCCAAAGGTTTCTGTTATAGCTACAGTTGACTGCTCCACTCAAATACACCCAAGAGCTTGCCCCATCTTATGATCAAAATCAATTATTCCAAAATCAATACACATACACAGACTTCAATTAATACATTAAATTCATATAAAAAATAAACAACAAATCTGTCTTTCTTTTACAAACATTTTGATGTCCAATTCATAGAAAACTGAATAAGCTATTCCAATATATCCTTTAAATACTCAACAAAGACATGGCAGCAAAAGCTCATACTAACCTTTCACGTCCAACATAATAAAAAATCACTAACACCAATGTTAAGACAGTTGTTACCGGTTATAGTTGAGGCTTTAATATTCCAAAGAGCATCAATAAGTCCAAAAAGATAAAATTTAATAGAAAAGAACAAAAGAAAGAAATTTTCTTTGTACTTTCTACCTTGAAGGTGACGCGTTCTCTAATTTATATACAACTATCAAGGAAAAACAATTCAGCTCTTTCATTGAACTAATCAGTTTGAATATCACTATAACTAAGGATGCAGATAAGCCAAGCAACAAATAACAGCATAACAATTAACAAATCGTTTTCAAATGCTAAAAATAGTCAGCAACAGTTGTGTTTCGTGAACTTAATTTGTTTAATACAGCTGCGGTATGAGAAGTGAGAGCTACAGCCTACTACCTTTAATTTTTAAACAATCAAAGAAGATCCCATAGGACAAGGCTACAAGCCCACAAGTAGATAATTTGCGCATTCTGTAAGATACTGATAATTCATATATTCGTGTCACATTTTACACGAAAATTATATGTTATAATTCTTGTTGACATGAAAACATCAAATACATCTTTTTACTAAAATTTTTAACCGTGTCTTGTATTATTCGTATCATTTTCATATGCTGCCATTAGTGTCGTGTTGCCAGGTCTGCCTACCAGGCTAAAAAAAGAGGACAACTATGTCAAAATATATGACAAAAACAAATCCATATTGAAATAACGAAAAAGTGATTTCGTTTACAGTTACTGCCAGAAAACTCAAAAACCAAGTCAACTTCCAAGCAATTCTGAAAAAAAAAAAAGAGATTAAACCTTAATTTTCCCCGCTGTTTCGTGATTTTGCAGAAGCAAAGCAAACAATAGTAAGCCAGCGATATCACAGAGGAAACGAAAAAGAGAAAAAGTAAAAGAAGAAAATTGCAGCTATAATTACAAGAATTGCATCTCTTAAAAGAACAAAAATATCAAAGACATAGGCTTACCTAAAAGAAAATTCAAGATCGAGAGAAGCAAATTCGAAATTGGAAGAGAAAAAAATTTCGCGAAAAGACGGTGTGCTTTTGCTCGCAAGACACGAAGTCGAATGCTTTATGAGTAATAGTTACAGTAAAAGTAAAACTAAGCAATATCGAAGAAAGACGACGATATATAAGAAGAATCTGCGACGAAACAATGGGATATAATAGGATAAAGGGGCGAAAAGTCTCTTTTTCGTTGTCAGTTCAGTATAAAAGATATTTCGCCTTGTCGTTCATATTTATAGAGAAAGTCAGCGGAAATTATAGTTGTTGCTCAGCGTCTCAGCAAGCGAAAAGATGGGCCCTCGGTTTCCTCCAACATCAAGGCCCTATAAAATCTCCCAATGTGTTTCACGTGCCTTGTGCTTGCAAGATTTGGACATGTCATTGACGGGACAGCCACTTCTTGGTCATTGGAGTGGGCTTTTCTTATGGTCCCAACTCCCAGTGTTGGCGTTCACATTAGGCCAGTTCGGCCTGAATTTAGTTGGATATTAGCCAGACACGTTACCTTTCTCCTCCATTTCATTATTTTCATTATATTATTCAGCAAGCAGCGTGATTATCCTTTCTATTATTATTGTCTCTTCACCTTTTTACATTGTAAGAACTGACAAAAGCCCGTTGGGTATGATTCTTCAGAAGAAGAATCATGGACAAGGACATTGCTAGAGTGCGTGGGAATGGGGTCATTGATAATGGAACTCACCATTATTACAATTCACAAGCATATTGGGCCACTAAGAGACTTTTTCTTTGATTATAATTAGAAAATAATGACCTTCACAACTATTTGTAGTATACTCCTCAGTAAATATATTTCCATTTTTTTCCAAGGACAGAAGAGAAGCTAATCTTTAATATTTTTTTCCAGATAGATTAAAGCAACAGATGATTAACATGGCATTTTGCTTCATAAGCTTCACCTGCCCTAACTATCCTGAATTTAGGCTACCATCCTAAACACAACATAAAGCAATCATGTCTCTCTGCTGCTTTTTTCCATTGTCTGAGAATAAATGCTTTCACAGAATACATCTATACGGAGAAAAAAAAAGGGGAGAAAGAAATAAATGATGAGAAGAGGATGCGAAAAGAACAAGTTAACTACCCAACATTAATGTTTACCCTTGGGTTTTGGTGATTGATAGGAATAGTGATGGTGATAGGGAGAAGTATGGGAACCGTTTGGAATAGAAAGGCTCCTGTGCCCATTCCTTGAAAGTGATCCAGCTTGAGTTCGGAAACCATTTCTAGCATTTGGGCTGGACCCTAAACGTTCCGCTTGCATTATCTGGAAATAATATGATGAGCTTGCCATGTCCTTGAGGTTCGGTAGAGGCTTCAAGGCTTCCACCACCTCACTCATCAAAGGTCTAGCTTTTGGATCACGGCTAAGACAGTGAGCAGCAAGCTGTGCAGCTTTCTGAGCACCTTTAATTGAAAAGTGACCTTCCAACCTAGGATCGATCAATCTATAGAATCTTCTTCTCTCTCCTAGATGAGGCCGAGCCCATTCCACAAGATTATGTTCTCCGTTAGGTCTGTTTTTGTCCATGGATCTTCTACCAGTCAACATTTCAAGTAGAACCACACCAAAACTGTAGACATCACTTCTTGATGTAAGATGTCCTAAGATAGAATTATGTTCATTTGGTTAGACCCAAAGAGGAGGAAAAAGAAAATAATGCGATGCTTTCACAGGGACAAGCATTCCTTGTCATCTCCAAATTTGGATCTGGTCGAAAAGATGCATTAAGATAATGCCATAAAGGAAAGGAAATTTTACAGGTCATCAAAGAAAAGGATAGCAAGAACTCACGTTAACAGTGAAAAAATTTCCTACATGCCAGGTAATTAAGCAACTTTTCATGAAAAGTAAATAATCAACTAATATCATAAACTCAACCCACCCGACTCCTGCTATATGAATACCAGTTCAAAGGGATGAAAACGCTTCCAGCCCATGATTCCATTTAAAGAGCATGCAAGGCATTCTACCAGCAGTTACATTGCAAAATAGTTCAGTGTTCATCAGCCAAAGCATGATATTGCAAGAGGTATCTGCTTCTGGCAAAAAGTTTCCAAGTTTCTTTAACAGCCTATCTCAAGAAGGGAAGGATTTGAATGCACAAAGTTACACTTGGAACCTCTAAATTTTTACTACTGCACTTAACAGTGTCTCCTAGAAAGTTATGCAAGATATAGAGAACCCAATAATGATTAGAGATTCAAGAACCAGGCAAAAGGAGGAAGAAAACCTACACTCTACCAACTACTGAGTCTGGCATGTGCCCAAGTGTGTCATATCATTTGCTGGAAAGCATCGAAACATGCTTCATAGATTGGAACACTCATTTGTCATAGGTAAAGGAAAGGGTAAAAACTAATAGAAATCTGCCCAAGAGATCAATTAAAAAAGGTCGTGGAAATCCCTTTTTAACTTCCATTTTGAGAGATATAGTAGCAGAGATAACTACAGAATCCTGCTCATCCAGAATAGAGATACTGCATGTTGTTGAAAACAAAGAAAACAACATGCAGTAGGCGCAAAAACAAAGCTAAAAGCTACCTTGCATGTCTTTTAACTGTCAAGGATAAAGTTGAGGGGATATAAAACAGGGAAGAGAGGGGTAGAGTGGCAAAATTAAACAAGCATCTCCTTTCTATTAAAGCTTACCAGTCATTACGTATTCCGGGGCTGCATAGCCATATGTTCCCATCACACGGGTTGAAACATGGGTTTTATCTCCCTCAGGACCATCTTTAGCAAGTCCAAAATCAGAAAGCTTTGCATTATAGTCCTGCAATGTCAAGTTATGAGAATATGTAAAATATATTAGACAAGAATTCTTTTTTTTTTTTTGTTTGGTTGTTAAACAGAAAATTTTATTGAGGTGAAGTTTTTTGCACGTACTGCATCTAGTAGGATATTAGAGGTTTTGAAATCGCGATATATTACTGGCCTTTCTGCCTCTTCATGAAGAAATGCCAGACCTTTTGCAGCACCTAGTGCAATTTTCATCCTTATGGACCATGGAAGAGGCAAGGATCCTACATAAATCGTAATTTACAACAAACTGAGTTACAAAATGTTGTTTAAAAACCTAAAACCCACAATCAGAGAATATCGCCATAATAAATACATAATTTATCATGGGTGAGCAATAATACAACTCCAATCTAAGAGATCAACATTTTCTAGAGTAGACAGCAGATCTGTTATTTTTGAAACTCCAATCTAAAAGCAGCAATATTTGAAAGAGACGGAATTTGTTCTGACACAATTTCCATAGAAATTATATATATAGCAAGTGACTGAAATCCAACCATGTATAGGTTGTCGATGAACATTCATTATGCCTTTAACTGAATGTTCTGAGCTAAAAAATCATTCATACACAATTGGTCTTAAAGACAGAATAGCAGCTGCATACTTCTGAAGAGATGGTTTTCCAAGCTTCCTCGAGGCATAAACTCATACACTAGCAGTCTCTGATCATCTTCAATGCAATAACCAATAAGTTTAACCAAGTTAGGATGGATGAGATCACCAAGATAATTCACTTCGGCCTGCCACATTGATGAGCCAAGAATCAATCAAAGATTAAACATTCAGAAGGAAACAGATAGAAAAAGTGAGAATTGATATGATATAATGTGTAAAGTAGAAATGCTGAGGAAAGGTGAAAACCAGCCATTCTTTATGACCCTGGAGGCCATCATGGTTGAGTGTTTTAACAGCAACAGTAAGCCCAGTGCCGGGTTTTACTGGAGCAGTTCCATTTTCTTCAACCCACCCCTTGAAGACACAACCAAAACCACCTTCACCAAGGAGACTCTCTGGTCTGAAGTTCCTTGTTGCCAACTTTAGATCATTAAATGTAAACTTCCGTAACCGAGATGCAACTTTAAGCTCCTCTTCGAGTTTGGAAGTAGATGAACTACTTTCTGCATTGCTAGTGGTTGTAGATGAGACAACCGGAGCTGCCGGGTGATCTCTACTGGTATCATTCGCAGATTTGCTATCTGTTTATCAATGAACAGATTTAACATGTTACAAGATGAATTTATATGGGTCTCCACAAGGAAAAATGTAGTGCATGGGGGGAAATTGGGGTTGGCAACGTGGAACTTGAGTTGCCACACCTTCTGCCTTTCCATATGAGTTAAAGCATGGCTAGAATAGTGATACTATAATCCATTCTTGAGTATATATCAATGTAAAATGTCTTTTGAGTTTCTCCACGAATTTCACAATATCTCTTTCTCATTGCTGGCATCATTAATCCATCACTTCATCTGTAACTTTCTCCAAATCATTTAAAATGGAGTAGGAATTACCAACTGCTAAAGAGGATTATTTCTACCATTAATCAAACAAATACACAATGGACTTTAACAACTTTTGAGAGAAAAATAGAGACAGGAGACCAGAAATGAAAAGTAAAAGTTAACCTATATTAAGTTTTAGCCTAAATTCAGCTCATGTCCACATTTCATAATATTTTAGTAGCTCAAGGTTGGGGTTAAACTCTCATTGGATTCAAAAAGTTTCCGAAAAGATATATAGCTAAAATCTACTAATTGACCCCAATCATAATTAGTGAAAACACACAATTTGAATCTTTACTCCTTAAGCTGAATGCAGCATCTTACAGGCTGCACCAAGCCAAAAAAAAAAAGAATGTTAGCATTTGGCTTAGCTTCCCCTTTATCATCTCCAAGCTACATACATACTTGCAACAGAACATTCACATCAATAAATGATCATGACAATAAACATACCATTTCATGCAGCAAAGTATGCCAAAGAGAACATGATTCGAAGTAATACCAGGTAACCAAAAAAATTTAAAAAAAATTCTTCAATTTAACAGCAAATCACAAGAAAGGGGTAACATTTAACAAGAAAATATAAAAATTACCATAATGGGTACTGGTTCCACTAACAGAACTGTCAACTTTGGATCTTGAAAAAATGCAGCTTCCAATAAACCTTAATTTAACCCAACACCCTGTTTCTTCCGCCACAGCTTCATCATCAAGATCTTCTTTTTCACTGTTTTTCTTCTTCTTCTTCCTTCCCTTTGATTTGCACATATCCCAAGACTTCACCTTTCCATCCTCAGAGCCTAATCCCATCTTCTCTCTTCTTCTAACCCTAACAATTTCTCATAACATCAAAAACCCAGAAAAGCTAAAACAACCCAAATTTAGTAATGTTAATAACCAAAACCCCAATTCAAAAAACAGAAGAAAGACAAAGCTAAAACAAGAGAAACCCAGTTGAGGAAAGACCCAGATCAAAATTAAGCAGCAAAAAGAAATTAAAAAACAAAAAGTTGAATGTTGATTGAGTCAGGAAATGCCTAAGAGAAAACAAAGTGGTTTCTTTTTTAGAAGATGGAATTAATAAACCTCAGTCGAAAGCTAGAAAATGTACTCTCTCAGAAAAAAAAAATGTTTTAGTTGTTACACACAAGCTGAAATGCTGAGCTGAATAGTTCAAAAGTTTTTAAGCGAAAAAAGAAAAGGAAGGGAAATACCACTTCTCCAGCTCTTTTACTGATTCTCATCTCTCATTTTATTCTATTTTATTTTTTGTTTTTGTTTTTTAATCGAATCAAAGAACAGAGAAAGCGAAATATGGGCTGCCCGGAAAAAAAGGGGCAGGAGGTGCCCTGAGGCTGTGTGATAGAGGTTAGCCGCACCTGGTTAGAAGGATTTGTGCGTTGGGAAAGATGAGAATTAAGGGGCGGGTAGAACGGGCAGAGATAGAAAAAGGTATGGGACCTACTTGGATGGTGACGTGTCTACTGCGGTGGGCGGAGACCAACGCGCGCGTCCTATTGAAATTTCATGCTTTTCTTTTTCTTTTTTTCTTTTTTGTTTTGTTTTTAATCCATTTTTCAGTTTTCACCAAATACTTTATTTATTAACAATTTACTCATCAGTAAGTACTGATTCGAGTGTAACTAAACATCCATTCGAGGGAAAGTTTCAACAACTATTGACATTTTCTTTGTTAATCCCTTTCAAATTGGCATTCACATTCAGCCTTTAATTTTGATATTAACCAGTCTTGTGATTTGACACTACAACTTTCTTCAAGCTCTAGAGCCCCCATCCTCATCCTCATCCTTAATCCCCCTAAAACAGGAATTTTTTGCTAAAAAAGTTCTAAAAAAAAATGCCAAACTCTTCAAGATTATGACATTTATCATTGCATAAATCCATGGCTTCGGAGTCAGCTTTTACCATGAAGAAATGGGGATGTGCCAGCATTAATTTAATAGAAATAGTTTAATAATCCAGGTACACTAGCCAGCCAGCCAGACCTGGAAATTTTATTAGTCTACGAGTTGGTTTGCATGTTCAAGGAATTGCTTTTTCCTTTTGACTTTGAAGTTTGAATATATATCAGCAACAACAATGCAGCTGCATTGCAACATCAAGGTTGGCGGGTGAATCTAACAACTAACATTTATTTTTTGTCAAAATTTTCAACTAAGTATTTATTTTTCTTTAGGACCTATCTTATCTATCCTTTTACTATATATTCTACGCATTGTAGGCTATTATGATCGCTAGTTTCCAACTGAAATAGAAAATTATCAGTTTTAGTTGTCAAACCAAGATTAAATCGTAAGCCCCGTCGCACTTGACACTCGACGTCTCATTGGTATCAGCTTCAAGCTTGGATCGAGAGCTCGGCAATCCTGCCATCATATGAACGGAAAAAGGAAAAATGCAAAACATAACCGTGGAAAACAGAAGTTTGGAGTCCGAATTCTATGATCAGTAATCAAAATGACAGACGCGGAACAGAGACAACGTAGTTAATCTCTTATACATTATAAACAATTCAATGTAAAAAGTACCATCATTCCTCTTTTTGATCTGCAAACTTCCAGCCATTTGAGCTATTCATGAACCAAGAGTTGCTGCCGTCTCAAATAAGTTATAGCAGTCATTATATCGAAGGATTACAAATTCACCATTTTGGAACTGTAACATGGATGTCTATGGATCCTAACACAGTTTTGTGTGGCCTGATTATCTATAAAGCACTCAGGTCTTGTGGTTTCTTTCCAACTGGTACACTTTCACACCTCTAGATTCATCTACAAAAAACATTTATTTCCCCCATCAAAGGGGTATATAACAAATACCATCCTCAAGAATGCAGTTTACAGGAAATGATTTGTGGCTGTATTTTTCTGACGAATTAGCAAGACAGATTCCTTTTCTGCTCAACACCGGAAGATATCTACCTTGGTACCAAAAATTCTGCAGAATATGTCACTATACTAGATGACAAAATTACCATCACTTTGAAATCCTTGATGACCAAAGATAACATGAAGTATGAAACACAAGTCGCAATCCATCCTAAATAATCCCTGTAGAGACACTAGAAGTCGCATTTATCTTCAGTGAGTGCTCAGGGATATATGTAAGACCTGTTGCACCATAAAGAGATTTACCACAAAAATTTTAGCTTTCAGGATAGACCTTAAGCATTACATTTGATGATATCTAGTAGAAAAGTGTAACATTTTACTGAATACAGAAGTAGACAGAAATGAACAAAACCTTCAAAATGTGCTAGAAACAATGTACATATAAATTACAAAACTACCTTAATGGTTGGTAAGAGGAGACTGTTAAATACAATGTGATCCAGAAAAGCATACATTTTTGTGCCACTCGCCAGAGGTTAGCTTTCAATGTAAAACATGGATATATCATGCGCTCAAAATCAATGCATGGCTAGCTATCGAATCATACATAGATCCCATAAAAGACGCATAAACCATACATTCCTTCTAACATAGTTCAGTTATACGGGCAAGACAAATCCTAAAACGGAAAAATGAACCAATGGATACCTTTCTCCTTAACATCAATCTGTAAAGTGTCAAGAGTGATTATGCCATCAGTCAGTGGAAGTAGCTCAAGCTTAATGGTAGCCGTAGATTGAGCAGGAACACATCTGAAGCAATCAATGTGAATTGTTACCATTGGCACATACCCAATTTGAAACAATATTTTACAAAGGTGATGCATTACCCGAGTGGTACTCTACTCTGCAGCCAGAGATGACTACATCCCAAGCCAGAAGTTGGAATGAAATCAGCTATTGGAGTCAACTGCTCATTGAAAGAAGTAAACCTAGCCCCAGCATCACTATTCTGTTTCTCATTCTCTGATGTAATGGGCATTGAGCTCAGTAAATGCAATGAACTAATGTGCCTCACACTACTCTCTTTCCCTGAAAACTCAGAAAACCCAACAAATGGGCTCATTGGTGATGTTGGAGAAGAATTCAAAGATACTACGGTTGGCGGTGAGGTAAAGGAGGCTGGAGCAAGAACTGTCATAGTTAGATCTTCAGGTGTCAAATTTGAAGCCTGAAGCGTTAAGACCTGATAATCACACCAGTTGAATGAGAATTGTCATAGTTAGATAGTGCATGAGCAAGAAAGAGAGAAGGAATCAAATTGTATAAAAACCTGAACTGGAAGCTGGGTGACTCTTTTATTGGGTCCAGAATATTGTCCTGAAATTTCGGATGCAACTGAGATCATAAGATCCCTTGAAAAACGTGGTCTCCAACTTGTTGGCTGCTTGAAATACAATCTTGACTCTACATGTAACATAAAAAATTGATATGTTATTAGTTAGAACATGTAGTTAACACAAAATTTGCAAGATGATACTGTAAACTAAGAGAAATGTACATACCAGTATAGTTGCAACGGCATGATACCATAATTGCATGGTGGTTAACAGTTGAAGCACTCGCCTTACTATCGACAGTCTTAGAAGAGGGTTCTAAACCGGATGATTTAGACTTTTCTCCATAAGTTTTGAGGTCCTTCCACATAGAAGAAGCTGGTTTTAAAATAAAAGAGTGCTCTTCACCCCTCCTGCAACAGAAACCATCAATAAGATCATGGGGATAGACAACTCTTCCCACTTCTACAGCACCATAAGATGGTAGATACAACTCAGCTAAACCATAATTCTAAACACACTTCAAGATATTAGATAATGGCCAAATACATGTTTACACCCTCCAAAGGCAGTCCTCATGCATGCAAGGTTTATTGCTAATTTACCATTTAAATTCAGCAAAATTTCAGTTTTGTTGCAAATTAAAAATGAACTAGCAACATTAGGCATACACTCTAAGCAAGCATGGCAGGATACAGCAACAAAAGATGAATATATTTTTCTTTTTCAGGGTGGATACCTTAATCATCGTGCTTAAATGAAAATGCCAAAGAACAATTAGAATTAAATTAAGGAACCTAAAGTGAAAACAACCTGAGAGCTAGATTTGGCAAACTATGGTTGTCTCCAGCTTCAATACATGCAATTGGTAGGGAAGCAGGAGGTCCACCTTTTGAAGCCTCTTCCAAAACAACTGTTATAGCATCAATATATACTACAATATCTGGTATATGTGCTGGAGAAACATTCTGCAAAATAACTTCATAAGTGAATAAAAAAAACCTAGTGACTATGCCCATAGAGAGTGGAGAGAAAGTATTTATGATTTATCAGGAATGATGAACATTAAGGTTTACCTTTATCTGAACACAAACAAGGTCATCTGTATTACAGTCGGCAGCATAAGAATGGATCTCAACAGGTTGAATTATTTCAAGTTTCCTCCTCCATCTTCTTCCTGGGATATGGATTCCCTCTAATCCACAACGGACAGAAAATCTTTCTCGCTCTAGTGTCACACCCCGAAAAGATAAAAGTTCTTCAATCCCTGTTCTTTGAATCTTCAAAATCTTCTGAGAAGAGTTATGAGCCACCTCATCAAGGTCAAATGATGGTTTAGAACTTTGGGCCTTAACAGGTCCAGGAGGAGGTGCAACATTTTGAGGAAGCGATGACATGGAGTAGCTTCTAAAATGACTAAAAGAAAAGAGCTGAGAGCCAGGGGAGCCAGAAAAGGCTGACCTCTGAGATATGCTACCAATTCCAGAACCAGAACCTAAGGAAGGAGAAGGAGGAGATAAAGTATAAGGTGGAGGCAATGTGTTATCCAAAGGAAGCAACCATTTCAACAATTCTCCACATTGGTCTTGATTTGAATAAACTAAGTTGTCCTGATTCTCAGAAGAAAGGTTTCTATCCTGATATTTCTCAAACTGAAGAATTTCAATGACAGGATCTCTCAGAAAATCAACACCAACATTCACTTGTAAAAATACCTGCATCCTTCCAAACAGAGAAATAGAATGAGAATCAGTACCTGAATCAATAAGTCACCTAGCAAGGAGCTAAATAATAGTAAAGTCAATATGTCAATTAAAACAAACGATTATGAAACTAAAGAGAAGTAATGCATCCACGATCTTCTGCAATCAATTGCAGAATCAGAGCAAGATAACAGTTAATCAAAAGCAGTTCAAAATCTGAATAGGCTTTCTCCAGTAAATTTTGAAAAATGCCTAGGAACATGAGCAAGCCAGTGGTCCGGTTGCAATATGTAGCATATTGAAAATATCATTCCATCAAATTCAGTTTACATGAGTAGCAATGTCTTTTAGGTTGGATAGAGTAAGATACCATAAGCAAGCCTCCAAATGACATGGTAGGAATTTCCTTGCTGAATGCCCTAGATTTCTAACAAGATATTGAGTGTGGATAAACATAGGCCTAAACTGAACAAACCATTTTACATCTTCTCCTCTTTCCAGTAATGTTATCAAAGATTCTTCTCCTACCTGAAATTACTTGTTATACTTCTCCAAGTTACCTACCTTTCTCACAATACCATTCAATAACTCAGATCTTTAACTACAGATTGGTTCCCTTGGCCGATAACTAATCAATTAGGATTCTTTTGGCAGTTGCAAAAAACAAAGTCCGATCATTCTTCTCCATGAAAATCATCTGCATGCTCCTTACCACATTTCTGAAATTGCACCAGCAAGTCAAATCTTGATATCAAGCAGCAAGGTCTCACTTGCAAATATGCATGGAAGACGAGGCAAGGAGCTTACACGAAATCAAGGTACTAATCAATAGTACCCCCATCTCCTTATCAAAATGCCCAATCTTCAATCTTCAACAACTTGGCGGCAAAATCTCTCTATTCTCCTCCCTTTTCATTTTACATTATTTCTGTTTAGTTCCCCAGAAAGTCAGATGAATGTAGCTTTTTGTAATTAAAATATTTCTTGTCAGGAAATGGAGACAGTTTTGAATAAGGAGGTGGATACTTTCAGCCTTTGACAATGAGGGGTCGGTCATCGGTTTAGCCTCTAATTGGTGGCAGGAGCAGAAAGGGATGGTTCAGGCAAGAGGCAGAGACAGTAGCAGAGAGTGCATTCCTTGTCTGTGTCCCTGCCCCCAGCTTGTCATCCTTATGCAAGTCAGCGATTTTATACACACTGTAATTACTACAACAACTGAATGTTTACTAGGTTCACCATAATACATCCAGCACAATCAAACAAACATACCAAGCAGCTATTACAATAACATCATTTGCATGTAAAACAGATACAATTAACTTGCTAGTTGCTACCTGTTGGCTCAAATAATTAAGTGCAAATATGTCTCCAGCATTTATCCAAATTCAAAGAAAATAGGAAAAAAATATCATTAACAATGTAGTTCTTCTGTGGTGCTTACCACTATGTCTCCATTGGAAAGAGAGCAACACTTAACAGTATCTCTAGCTAGTCCACCGGAAACATTGGCATCAAAATTTCCTCTATCAATAACTACATTCAGGCTAGATATATTCTTGGCAGTGTTTTTGGTTTTATTTGCAACACACTGTTGACTATCCATCTCAGGCAACTCAGGAACTGTCATGGAAGCACCTTTTTTCACCCATAAAGGCTCACCTGACTCTGCAATCCTGACAAAGAAATGAGAGTTCTTAAACCTCTTCAATAGTGCTTCAGTCTGTCTTCTGTGATCTTCCATCCTAAGGAATGATTCACTAGCAGAGACATCCTTTGCTGGATCAATCTTCTCTTTCTCTAAGTTTTCACCATTCTGATCCATTACGGCACCATTAGGATTCACTTCCCCTCCTCCAGGCACTGAATTTGTCTCACCCTCCATATTTCCATTTTGTTTCACAGTGCCCTTTCGCATTCCATTTTTACTCATCACTGCAGCAACTTTAAATGGGGTAATAATTTCTGTTTCCTGATTACACGCTGATAAGCATGCTAGAATATGAACTTGTTCACCTGGAAAAGAAAACAGGATCAAGTTTAAAGTTACAAACACATATCTCCTGTATGAATACATCAACTGCATACTAAATCTGGAAGAAGAGGTTCAAAAAAGACAATGGTACCAGGAAAAACAAAAGAACGATCCAGGGAACGCAAGGAACGTATGTCTGGTGCATGATTCCAATCATCAGAGAGATCCTCTACAATAGCATATCAAGATTAGATATACAACAAAGAATATCAAATAAACTGCATGTTAGTTTGGTAAGTAGATCAAGAGCACACGCCAAATACAAACTTAACAGAGATACAATTTGTAAATAATCATTCATTCAATCATATCAGGAAATTCTTATCAAGTTAAAATATACTTAATATAATTCCACCAACATTTTGAACCTTAAGAAATGTAACAAGCCATCATAAGCACAATTCTCTGGGATACCAATGAATCCTATAGTTGAAACCATAACCTAACAAAATGTTACCTTATTAACAATCAGATGATCAAAAATTAACTTATTGTACCATCAAAATTGGTTTTTAACTTTTATATTTCAGTCATTAGGGCATTTAAGTTTCCAGACTCAGTCTAGCTTCAGATGTTGTAAATCAGCAATCAATATTGTTTGGATGTTAAAAGCAGATTGATTCAATTTACACCATGGGGTATACACTCAAAAAAAGGACACTTTTAGAAATTTAACTTTTTTTTAAAGGAACAAGGAAATGAGATAAAAGAAAGAAAATGAGTAAAAGCCAATCATTAAAGCCATAAGTGGAGTCAGAAAAAACTACAAGAATCAAGAACTGCCAAACAAAAATGTGTAGATTTGTTAGCTTAAGTGGTTTAGTGTGCACTTACTATATGGAATAGTGATCCATCCATCTTCTTCAGAAACATCTGTGTGGTTCTTAGGGATAGAAGCATTCTTATCACCCACAAGACCAGCATTCGAGCCTAAAAATCCATTGGTTTCTCCATCATGAGTTTCAACTGTAGGAAACTCTGGAAATGAATCTTCAACCATAAGCCCTTCCAAAGTTGTCACAGATTTAGAAACATAAGTTGACTCCGCCACCTCTTCTGGTACTGGAGGTGGTTCTGGCGTTACTTGTTGATTGGACCGCAGCAGCAGAAAATTCATTGTTTCTACCAAAATCACCTTCTGTAAAATCAAACACTAATGATGCTTTACAACTCATGTACAGGAAATACAAGTTTTACTATAAAACAAGAATGCCATCAAAACAGGCGCGTCATTTCTATTTCAGATTTCATGTTTCTCAAACATCGATGATACTTTACAACTAGAGTATATGAAGTACAAGTTTTAACATAAACACAAGAATGCCATTCTCGGGCTCGTTTGTCTGTCAGAATCAATCATTTTTCTCAAACACCAATGATACTTTATAACTCGAGATAATCGGAAGTACAAATTTTATTATAAAACAGGAATGCCATCAAAACACAAGCTCCTCAGGCTTGTTTCTCTTTCAAAATCAATCATGTTTCTCACTCAGCTCAATTTTTCTGAAACAAATTTGAAGGTTAAATGAAAAGCAATCTAAACGACACCGTTTTTCCTTTAACCGAATTCCTAGCCCTTAAGTCGATAAATTATTTTGAATTTTATCTTTCTAAGTTCGCAAGAAAGTTCAAGTAAAAGGAAAGAAAAATAATAATTCTAACCAAGTAAAATCACTAAAACAAATCTTGGAAACAAGATTAAGCTGTGAACAAGATAAAATTCCTCATTTCCTTAAAATTATCACGAATTTTTTTAACCAGGCAAAGGCCAAAGCAAGATGAAATTAAAAGCAAATAATGAGATTCAACAACAAAAATGTGATTGAACAATTTGCTTTTGATCAGACATAGCAAAGGAATGCGATGATGAGAAAAGGAAAATCGAGAATCGTTTACCTGATCGGTGATCAAAGGCTGTGGAGTTTTTTCTTCTTCTTCTTCCTACTTAATAGTTATTTTAATTGTTTGGTGCCTGGGAAATGGGAGATCCAATTTCCTAACGGGGCTTTTTAACTAGATCGTTTGTTCGATCTGGTTTTCGGCCGTCTGATTTCCATTTCGGTTCTTGGGTCGGTTTCTGCCTTTTAACTAGATACTTACCTCTGCCTTTTGATCTGCTTTTGCTTCCGCCCTGGTTAGACTTGAAAGTGCCTCAGCCATGTGCGTTTAGCCTAAAGAGTCGATTGCTCGAGCCCACCCCAATAAAACAATGGCGCTTTGCAACCCAATCCTTGTAATTTTCTTTTATATATATATTTTTTTTCACCCGACCTTTGTAATTTTTCTTCAATTTTACATAAAAATTCTATTCGTAAAGAGAATATACTAAAAAAATTTATATAAAAATATTCAAAATATATATAATCTGATATTTGACTATATGCAATGTTGTCCTTCAATAATAGTCGTACAATGTGATATGAATCCAAAAAATAATAAAAATATGTTGAGATTAGAGTTTTGGTTTAATTGTAATTGTGAAATACTCAATTTAATTAAAAAAATGTAGTTTCAAATGAAACAAAAATTATGATAAAAAATCTTAATTATTGTGAATTATATTTTTTCAATTATAAAATTAAAAATATATATGTGATTACAATTACAAATGATTATATTCTTCTCAAATGAGAATTGTTAATCACAATCACAATTTCAAGTAGCATAGATAAAGTTGAGTCTTGACTTGGAGGTAAATCGAGTACATATTTAAGGTACAGGCTGATGCTTATCACAAGGAGCTGTTCTATCCTTCTTTTCAATCTGCTAGCATCTTGCTTTCTTCGAAGGAAAAACCATAAGCGTCTTTCTCTGAAGACAAGAAAGTCCACACTCCTCAACCATTGCAATCGATCTCACACTTGCCCACTATGAATCAAGCCCACCCATGCTTCAGAATCTCATATAATCTCCACCCAACATTAACAGCAGCATGCATCAGCTCCTTTTTATTCTTTCCTTTTAAAAACTCAGCATCACATGCCGCAATCTCTCGTTCCAATTTCATACTTAAACAACAACAAGAATTAAACCCTCTACACCAACCAATTCCCAGTTAAGTCCTAGATATCCTCTATCCTGTTCCAGCTCTAACCCTTCCAGAACCACCGTCGTCATTTCCCTAATGATGTTCGAGAACCAATGTTTTTTCATTATCTTCTTCTCTTTATGCTTTCTTTTCTTGTTCTTGGATCTAACTAAAGCTAACCCATCAGTTTTCGTCACCCCAACTTCATCTTCGTCCAAAGTATCAGGGGGTTACTGGCAGCTTCTACAATCAAGCATAGGCATCTCCTAGTGTAACGAGTCGAATCGAATTGAATAGTGAGAAGTTCGAGTTTAAGTTAAACTCACAATTCGAGGCTCGATATTCGATTTGAACTCGATCGAATTTTATTTTTTAAGTTCGAGCTTGATTCGTGATCGAATTTGAGCTACTCAAGTTCGCTCAATTAATATATAAAAATAAGTTCGATTCGTATATTCGATAAAAGTTCGATTATTCATACTCGAATTCGAACTCGGATTCGAAATATTTTATTAATTAAAATAATAAAAATATATTTAAATATAAAAATTCGATTAAGCTCACGAGTTACTCGAGTCACATATAAAAATATTCGAATTTGATTCTATCGATAAATTGAACTAATCGATCTCGAATTCGACTCGATAATCGAATCGAATTCGAATTTTTTTCTAATGGAACCCGAGTAGATGCCATCTCCGCCGTGCACGTGCAACTCTTACCAAACAAGAAAGTTATCATCTTTGACCGCACTGACTTCGGCCCTTCCAACCTCTCTTTACCTGCCGGCAGCTACTGCCCTAAGAACGACTGCACCGCCCACTCTGTCATCTACGACGCTGTTTCCGTCCCCTCCACGTTGTAACTGACACGTGGTGCTCCTCCGGTTCCCTCGATCCTAACGGTAACCTTATCCAAACTGGCGGATTCAACGAAGGCGATCACGTGATCCACACGTTCATACCATGCGACACTTATTCCTGTGACTGGTACCAACTCACCCATAATCACCTCATCAACCGTCGATGGTGCGCTACTAACCAAGTTTTACCAGACGGAAGAATCATCATTCTTGGCGGTAGAAGGGTTTTTACCTACGAGTTTTACCCTAAAAATAACTTCCTTAACAACAAGAGTTTTTACCTTCGTTTCTTGGTGGAAACTAGGGACCCTGAAGCGAACAATCTCTACCCTTTCTTGCATTTGTTACCAGACGGAAATCTTTTCGTTTTCGCTAACAGAAAATCAATTTTGTTTGATTATAACAGAAGCATTGTTCTAAAAGAGTTCCCTCTTATACCAGGAGATGATAAGAGAAACTATCCTAGTACTGGCTCTTCGGTCTTGCTTCCTTTGAGGTTGACTTGGACAGGGCCTCCGGCGTTGAGGTGCTCGTGTGCGGCGGTGCACTGGCAGGGGCGTTCTTGAAGGGGATAAGATAAAGGTTTTTGTAGAAGCGTCGAGGACATGTGGCAGGCTGAGAGTGAACGACCCAAACCCGCAATGGCTCATGGAGTTCATGCCCATTCCACGTGTCATGTCTGACATGATACTTTTACCTACGGGTGATGTGATCATTATCAATGGAGCGGCTAACGGGACTGCAGGTTGGGAGAATGCTGTAAATCCGGTTCTCAACCCGGTTCTTTACTCGGTTAACGAGGATCCAGTTCGGAGATTTACGGTTTCGTCTCCGTCCAAGATCCCGAGAATGTACCACTCCGTAGGATTGCTTCTGCCAGATGGCAGGATATTAGTGGGTGGGAGCAGTCCGCATTCTAGGTACGTATTCACAGGAATATACCCGACCGATCTGAGTTTGGAGGCTTATAACCCGTATTACTTGGATCCTAAATTCAACTCGTTAAGGCCTTCCGTTTTATCAGTGGAGTCAGGGAATGCGGTGTCGCACGGGCAGAGATTCGGGGTTTCCTTTTCGCTGTCGCTTTACAACCAGGGCTCGGTGTACGTGGCACTGATAGCACCGTCGTTTACGACGCACTCAATCGGAATGAACCGACGCATGGCCGTTTTGAATACAGCGAGCGTGGTTCAATGACGATGTTTAATTACAAGTTGCTGGTTATGGACCCACCAATGCCAACGTGGCACCTCCAGGCTATTATAAGCTGTTCGTGGTCCACTCTGGGATTCCTAGTCAAGCCGTTTGGGTGAAGGTGATGTGATTTTGATTGATTTCACAATGTGATTGATCTCATGTACAATTTGCTTAGATATTCCTTTTTATTTTTTCTTATATGATGATTTTTGAGGGAAAAGAAAATACCACAGCATTGATAGAACAATTAGGTTAATAAGCTTCAAGTATTAAACAGCCCAAATTCGTAAATTTTTTTTTTCATTTTTTAAGCAATAAATGAATTATAATTCGGCTTACAAGAATTTGCATTTTATTAATCCCTTTTTGGGGTTAATATTTTTTTATTTCATTAATGCTTTATGCTTTTGGTTTTTATTATTATTTTTGCAATAAAAATTATTGAAATTTGTTTTTATTAGCAATCTCACTCTCTCTTATTGGGCCGTTGTTTCCAGCAGCTGACCCCAAACTAAACAAAATAAAAGAGCCTTAGTAATGATGAGATCCAGGTTTCGATTTCTCCTCTTTAGTGATTGGGGTGGGCTCACAAATTAAAAGGGAAACGGCCAGAGGCCCAGCCATAAAATTGCAGAAAAACAACTACACGACAAAACATGAAGTGGGCTGACTACAAACAGTCCAACTTTATATTTCTTCTTGAGCTTTTTCATCAACAATTACTTGAACATTCCTTTGGTTTCATGCTACATATCATAAAACTAGAACAGGACACTGTAATCTCATCATTCAAAAGTCACATATAGGGAATTGTAAGATGTTCAACCGCCTTTCTTTTTTTTTTAACTTTTACTTAGATTCGCTTGACAGTAGACACTGAGAGATACGTGGTAGAAGCAGACCATTTCATCCACTTGTCTCCAGAACTTTATTTGATTCTACTTTTGGGGTAACCGAATTTTTTGATTCTACTTTTGGGGTAACCGAATTTTTTCATGAACAATCGAGGCTGATATAAAGGGAAGCTAAAGACAAAATAAAAGGCTAACAGAACCAAGAAGAAAACAAACGAGAGCAGGCTAAACAAAGAGCAGCAAAGTTCAACAGGGAAAGCGAAAATATCTGATATAGTAGCCAAGACCCCCCCCCCCCCCGGCGGGTTTTGGACACAGCCTATTAGGGTTGTCAACAATATCTGATAAGCACTCAGTCTGGCTTTTATGTCATTGGCAATTTGATAGCATCGAGCTGAGTTTACTTCTTTTAGGCACAGTGTGTTGTGTCTGAATTATTTCTCTTTCAAAATGTGACATTTAACTGGATCAGGCGAATTACTTGAGCAAAATAGTACAGCAAGAAGATTTGGTCCTTCACGGTAGTATTTTTACGAAAGAAATTAGAAGTACAGCTGTTTCGTTTTACTTGCTAGCTCCTGCTGATCTGTATTTGTAGCGCATGGCCCAAAAAAGGTAATGCAATAAATTCAATGCGCTAAGCACGCACATAAGCCAGTAGAATCTCTCAAGATGAAAGCGATTTATCGTATGACCAGAGAGCCATGGCTTGTGCCTTGAGTTATCTGTCACATTGTTTACTATTGATACAATTACCGAGCTTAAGTAATACCCCATTGCAAGCGAAGCCCAGGAAAGAGATGTAGCTAACGATCTCATGCTCGAGGGCGCCTCAGTGAAGAAAAACTCTAGTAAGCCTGCCAAGGTGAAAAGATCTGCTGACCCCAGGAATAAATACTGCAAAGCAATCCAGAAAAATGTAATGGGTAATGGATTGGTTGAGTAAAGTAGGCCTGAGTCAGTTGCCACTCTCTTTCGCTTAACTTCAACAAGAGCTGCCACTGCCATGGCTGTTATGGAAAGAAACAAACCAATTCCGATTCGTTGCAAGTGAGTGATGCCCATCTCGGTTTTAGTTACTTTCCGAGCAAATGGGATAATGAAGTGATCGTAAACTGGGGCTAGGATCATAATGAAAACCACAGGAAAAACTGGTAGGGAAGCTGGTGGGATTTTCAATGAACCAAGCTTAGTGTTCATGGTTGCAGCTTGTTCAACAGAAAATGTTGAGAGCTGAGCTAGGCAGCAGTTAAGAACAATGGTGCAAGCAAATATGGGAAGGATTTTCAACACAATCTTGACTTCCTCTACTTGCTGCACTGAACATTCAAGTGCTGGGTGAGCTGGCTCGTTCACCACCGCTCTGTTTAGGAATTTGAGGCTTTCTGTTGGGATTTGATCCGGCCGCTCACTTTGTTTGGCATCTTCTTCTGCTTCCTTGCTCATTTCAGTTTGATAAGAAGGGCTTGTAGCCAGGTTTGCAATGGCATTGCCTGGACTTCTGCTCATGCAACTGTTCAGCATTGCAGCAATCAAAACCTGTTCAAGTAATTAAAACACACATTTAATTCTTCTTTTCATTAATGGAATCAAGGTAGAGTGCCTAAAAGTTTAGGACTCTCTCGGTACTTATTAGAATGAAGTTGCATTAGCATCCCAAAATTTACCCTGCAAATGGTTGTAAGTGGGCTGCCAAAGGGTATTTTGTTCCTGTAAAATGTTGAGCCAACCAGGAAGATTGGAATAGACAATAATATTGCAATTGTGGAGATGGCAAAACCCCACTGCCATCCCTTATTATCTTCAACCCAAACAACGAACGTGACAGCAACAAGGGCGCCAAATGAGAGACAGAAGACAAAGTAGTTGAAGAAGGTCGATCTTTGCTTCCTTCCCTGCGGAAAGTCCCCGTCAAACTGCTCAGCGCCATGTGTTGGTAAAGACCCCTTTATCCCTCCGACACCAAGTGCCACAAGATAGAGGCCTATGAACAGCATAGCTGCTTTCCCACCACCAACTTCCTGGCAGGGAATGGAGGGGGTGGATGGACTGCATTCTGGAGGCTTTAGGGAAGGTGTCCGAGCTTGCATGGTAAGAATGATCAAGCCCTGTTTCGATGTTCGGAATTGGTTAGGCATGAACAATTAGCAATATAATTAATAAACCATTAAAGTTGGCTATGCCAGCACTTAATTTGAATAATCTTTTCTCGATAATCATTTTGAAGCATTTCTTTTTTCTCTGTAAGTCCTTGAGGGTACCGACACCAAGATAAGTAACGCTCGAATTCAAGTCTTTCGTATGAAGACCTGAAGCTTCCATTCAACTCCTTATTCAGCAAGGTAAACCGCTTTCCAAGTATTTTTCACACATAACAAAAGACTTTTTAAGGGCAATTCTATATACCCAATAGAAAAGAAAGCAATTCTTTATTAGCAGCTTAGTCATTGGATTAAAAAGAAAACACGAAGTGAAGTATGAATTAATCATATAAAACACCCAACTCCAAACTCAACTTTGAAGGCCTTACTATAGGAAGAGAACTGATTTCCACATCCAAAACCAAAAGGAAAAGTCCAGTCCAACATGTTGGGGTCACTTAATATCATCCGATTAAGTTCAAGAACTCAACAAAGAGTGGGCCCCTTACCTCGTACGTGTTAAGTCACACCCAAGGTTTTCGACTGCACTGCCGAAATTTCAATGAAATGTCGTTATAAAGAAGTTGGGACGTTGGCTACTTGGCTTTGTAAAACGGAATGATGCATGTGGGTATGGTTTTCACTTCAATAGACTTCATCAAAGTAGTAGCCAGTAGCGACAAATGTGGTTCATGAACCTGCCTAAAATGAGCACCTATTCCTTTATATGGTTTCTTTCATTTTTTATACTTTCGGATGAAATCCCATTTGAAGAACGAAAGGATACAATTTGATTTACCATAGATCTTCTTCTTCCCCCACTTACCATACAGGCATTGGTGGATCAAAATTATCTTAGACGTAGACTATACGAGCTCGCGGGACTAACGTGTCATCCAGCACACAAAGGTACGACGATTTGACATTCGTATGGCACGTGTCGAGCTAAACTCCTACCACCTGTCATGTGGGCTTTATCGCGTGCTTCAACAGAGACAAGACATTAAAGAAACAAGACAAGATAGATGTTGGACAAGATAGATGTTACTATCTTGGAGAAATTGACAAAAGGAAGTTTCTCTTCTCGTAACACGCGGTACAAATATTTTAAACAGTTCCCCTCTCTGACTGGGAGCCCCAAGGTATTGGCTTTGATTGGATACGTGCCATGACTCGTATCCATGGGACCCAACAATGGCATACTTGAGGACCCAGTTGCCCCACGTCTGAATTTTACTATCATTTATGCTCCTTTTCACAACCTAATTGGACATAAAATAAAATTCGATGCCCTTCGTTTTTATAAAGAGAAAAATGGATAATTCTTTGAGGGAATATGACCATTTCAAAGCCTAACTAACATAAACCATTGTTATTGTAAATTCTACTACGTAATGAAATGTCGAAATAGACCCTTTTTATTTTTTGTTCTTCAAAACAGTATAGTTGAGTTTTATTCATTTTGGAATCTGCTAAGAAAGAGGGAAATTTATGGACATTTATCACAAGGCCTCGATAGTTTCACCTAGACAGCCTGTGTTCCTTGGATCTACTTACCAAAGTCTCAGGAGGCATGCACCTTTAATGCTTCCAGACTCAGATTTTTCATGCGAAGGCTATTCCTTGCTTTCTCAAGAAATACAACGGGAAACAAATGCAACAATAAAACAAAATTTTCACAACCCTAAAAAGGGTTGAGATATTGAAGGAAAAAAACATGTTTATGGAGTTAGAGAGAAAGAGAATATAGTGTGAATGGTACCAGAAATTCGATGAGTGCGCTTATCAGGTAGATGTGATAAGTAGTGAAGAAAGCGTCAGATAAGAAGCCTCCAAGCAAAGCCAGAAGGAAGGCTGTCCCCATGAAATTGGTGACATTGTTTGCCGATTTGGATGGAGATAAGTGCATGTACTTTGACAGATACAGTACCAGGTTGCTGGCATTTGCCAAGTACGCCAGGTTCTCCAGCACTTCCACAACTACACACGAATTTTGTCATTAAAGCATATCAGAGAAGAAGAGGCTGACTCTTGAATTGTCTCAAAAATGAAAAGCAAGAAAGGAAAAGTAAGGAGAAGGAGGGAATTTGGCTGATAGGTTTACTAACCCAAGACAAAGGAGGCAGCAAGCATGCCACCATGTCGGCCTCTTAAAGCAGGTCTATTCCTCCAATCCCTATATCCTTCCCATCTGGAGTCCTGGTTCCCTCCTTCCTGTGGTAACAACTCAGGAGTTAGTAATTGAGTAAGAGGAGGACATAAAAAGAGAAAAAAAAAAAAAAAAAGACCCACCATTGTTCTTTCTCTTTCACACTCTGCCTTTTCAACTTGGGTAAGTTGTATTGGATCTCAGGTTAGAGAAGAAACTTTGATAACCAAAGCAGGAGATGACTGGTGGGGGGTATTTAAAGAGTGGGGAAGGAAGGGCATTGGTTACAACTTGGAGGAAAGAATGGCCTAGGCCCCTTAGAAAAAGACTTTGATCGATCCCCATGATGTAACCTTTTGTATTACTACAGAAGAATTTTCTTTTGTAGTTTCTTCTTCTAACAAATTTCATTTTTATGCATTCAAGACTACCCGATAAGAGATAGACAAGGTTAGGTTCTTTTTATTAAAGATTGCTAGGTTCTAATAAAAGATTAAAGATGACTATTATTCTCCAAAAGGAGGAGAAGAAGATTAGGAGAGAAGTATCAAATCCTCTCAACCCAAAGTAAAAGAGAAAACAGAAACTCAAGGTACCCTTCCCTTCGACTCTCCAAATTCAAAATATATGCTTATATTAAATGTAAAGACGTTGATGCCTGGTATGTTTGCTTTAATAAAATAGCAATGTGAAAAGGAGCACGTCTTTAATTTTACTTTCTTTGAAATTTTTATTATTTTCCATGTTTCTTCTTCCACTTTTATAATATTGTCAATTAAAATGTGATTAAAATAAAGAATTGATTCTTTTATCTGCGTACAAGAGTAGCAACACGATCCTTGTAGCTTTGGGCTTTGACTTTTCAGTTCCAAGAGTTTATCAAGCGGATGATGAATTGCGGCTTTTATACAAATGCATCTCTGGCCGTCCGATTAATTACAAATCAAATTTCTACATAAATCAAAGATCACCAAGATGGAATCCCAGTTGCAAATTAAGACCGGTTAAAGAAGCAAAGGGTTTTTTTTCTTTTTTTGGGAAGAGAGTGTGAATCACGAAGGAATGGTGGTAAAGGACGGAAAGTGAGTCAAATTATAGTTTTTTTAAGGACATATCTACCGTCATCCACTTAGCCTGGCTAGTAGTATGATCACGGACGGCGATCTTCTAAAGCTATATATATCTATGACCTTAGAATTAGAGGCAGAGTTCTTGGTTGGAAGGGTTGAAAGCTATAACAATTTACTTGACATTAAAGAATTTGATATCATTGGCTCCCTATCTCTATCGGCTCTAACAGTAACCTTAATTCTTTTTGTGTAATAATGTTTACAGATATGAAAATATGATAAAATTTTTGTACAATTTGGTCGAGTAGTCTAAATCAAAATACTAAATCAAACAGTTCTTTCTTGGCCTTACAAATATATATATATATATAGCAGAAAAAGATAACCAATCTGTCTCTCAGTATTATATATTAAGTGCTATTCACATCATAAGTTGATGATGGGCATATGAGATTTATACTCATTTTGTGCGTGCCATAGTTATTTTCTTACTGCTAGATATATTCTTGGAATTGAATTCGATTATGAAAAATCAAAGTCATTTTGGAGGTGAGTGACATATAATACTGCCTTCCTCAATAGCCAAATCGCTATATATAAACCACAAATTCATACTGTTAAAATGATTCAATTATCTAATTTCACTTGTGATTAGAAGAAACTTTTCCATGAACAATTATATAGTATCAATTTTATTATCTTATAAATCTGTAATTTGAATTTTGAAAATGGATAAAAAAAATGGTAAATTTTATGGGGGATATATATATATATATATTATTATCCCTTCAACTGATTAGTCTTGATTTGAGGAATACCCCATTTATCATTTAACAGATGCCTTGTTTTGGTAGGTTTGATTCATCCCATCTCTAATTAAAAAAACTCTTACGTTTTTCACAAATTTTGTCTCTCAAATTTTCTTCGTCCAATCCCACGAATTGCCCTGAACAAATGGTTATAGGAAGGGACCACCGAAATTCGCGAATTTCTCAAATGGAATTCAATTTAAAAAATATAAACGTTTTCCATACGGACGTCGCCTGAAAGAAATATATTGAAGCTGTCCGTGTATCTTCAAATGTACTCAACAGTGACCATGTCCTGATTTTCACGCCATGGGATCCTAAAACCTTTATTTGAGAAATTTGTACTTCGACTATTAATTGACTACCCAGCTGACTGCAAAAACTCGTGCCTAATTAATTCGAAGTCAATGGAAACATATTGTTAAAACACGGCCGAAACATATCATTTTACCTTGGCAGGCAGGCAAGTTGGCAATTCCTCTAGAGAACAACAACACTTCACCTGATCAAGCATATGGGCAGTCAAATTAGTAAACTTAAAGCTCTTCAAGGGTCAAGCCACATTCTTCTGCAGAATCTTTGCTGATAGCTATAATCACACTGATAAAGGAAGCATTTCAATCTCACAAATATTAAGGATTGATCATTCAAAACTAGCTTGAAAATGCAAGTTGCAGTTAGTTGTAAGCATCATAACTAAGAACGTTCACACATTCCCGTCAGATTATGACAAAAATTTGAGAGATCATCACCACCACTAATTCTAACACTAGGAGAAAGTTACTCCTAGACAAATTGTTTATCCTCGTTTTACACAAATTTTTGTTGTGACGGCCCAATTTTCCAATTAAATCTTGCCAGATACTGTTTGTTATAGGCTGCAAATAGCGGACAAAGTGGTGATCATTATTACCCATGAGGATCACGGGGCTTTCCCCTTGTTTACGACTTACCTAATGAATATGATGTCAGAAGGACCCTGTTCATAAAAGACAGAATAATGACCACCGCAGAAACATATTGACGTCTCCCTGAACATGTTTTTCATGATCTGACTGCCTGCAATTGTTGTTATACCTGAGAAGCTTTCATCAAAATCTCCACTCTGATGAGTTTATTCCATGCACATGCTTGACTAGTTTAGGAATTCATGAAACAAGATCGGTTTCAGAAATACAAAAATGCAGAATTTTGTCTTTCTTTGGAGAAATAGGAGAACGTGATTAATTAATTACAGCGTCTAGAACCAAAAAAAAATCATATAAATGTGGTGGGGAAACTGATAAGCCATGAAGAGATTTGTTTGTTCGGCCTAATATTACAAAACCAAAAATAGAGTTGACATCTTTAGTTGACTGCAAAATGTTGTTGATCACCACAAAACTGTTCATTTTTCACGCATCTTCTCAAGGTCTTTTCATAATCCCTGGGGCAAGCTATAGCAAAACCTTTTTGCTAAACGATTGAAAAGGAATGAGGAGTGGAACAAGATATTTTGGCACAGAAGAGAAAAGTAAAAGGCAGCCCGGGGCCACAACACGTATTGCAACAAATTATATAAGTGACTGGAGATGGAATTAATTAAATAAGGTTTTGAATGCATGAGATATGCATAAAAACTAGGGAAATATTGGTACTCTGAACATCAAGGAAAACGACGACCAAAAAAGGAGAGTCTACTTTCTCACTCGTGAGGGTGATATCCACCCTCAAACGCACGTCACAAGCTTTTAATTAGGCAGCACAACTCAGGTCATTCCCCTTTACCTTTAAAAATTAAAATGAAATAAAACTCAGCTTTTTGAACAGGAAATATAGACATGTACTAATCAATAATTATATAAGAGAAAATAATAGAAAAGTGAAACATTATTATCCATGTTGCTTCTCAATTTTATCTTGTCACTCCCCTTCTTAATTAATTCCATCGCGAAGGCCTGCAGCTTAAAACAACATATCGAAGTAAAGCAAAGAATTTTTTCTTTTATATTTAATTTGATTCCAGAGGTAAAAAACTCTCATCATTAATCAAGAGAAGGAAAGATGCTAAAGTAGAGGGTAGGGAAAGTCAGTCATGCATGTATAGAACTAAGGATGAGATATTCTTAGATGGGTAACCAAACAGATGAGAGTTAGTAGAGGGAATATTGTTACTAATTCTTATGATCAATAGCTTAAAAAAAAGATATGGTAGAATGTGGATGTATTCTATATATGTTGCTGATAGGAATCACAGCTTTACATGCCAAAATTCCTAGCAAAAATACTCTATGGATAATACAATTTATCAATAAAAATCACCAACTAGAAAATTCTTATTCCCTACACAGAAACAAAGAGAATCTCGATGACAGGAATGGATAGTAGAACACATGGAATTTTAGCCAAATTATACCTTGTTAAATTTTAAGACGTACATTCAATCTAAAATCAAATAGATGGGCATTCAACATAAAACCAAATGATAATGGATGGAGTAATTTTTTTTTTTATTTTTATGTGCGCAAGTTACCTCCAATTTGGCAGATGCGGGATTTACTTTTTCTTTCAATATGCCCCCTCATGTAAGGACAACGCACTTATCACATGACATGAATATCATGTGTAGAGATAATGACCTATCAAGATGGAGCTAAAGAACAGGAGGTAATGCCTCCTCTGATACCATGTTAAATTTTAAGATGAACAATAGATAGAGTGGCCTTTGTTATATTTATGTACCCAAGTTACTCTCAATTAAACGTATGTCAGATTTATTTTATCTCGACCTAAGCTGGGCACGGAATATGTGGTTTGAAGGTCTAAGCAGAAAAGCAAATAGAGCTGCTAATTGGGTAACTGTCTAAGCCAAGAAGGTGATGTGCATGGAAAACTGGGTTGTATTACCCCACCCTCATTGGTTTTTATATTGAATAAGGATGGTTTAATTTGCCTGCCCCTCCTTGAAGTTTCATGTTTGTTGCCTTAAGGTTTCAGAGTTTCTTGTTAAAGATTTCGTGTATTAGATTAAGGCTTGGCTCGTTTCAACCTTTTGTACTTCTGATAATTGATATTATTATTAATGGAATACAAGTCGTCGTGTAATCAATTTAAATTTAAATACAAATAATTGATTTTAAAATCAAGTATGAAAATTAAGTTTATTTTTAATTTAAAAAAAAACTTAATAAAGTGAACTCGATTTTTAATATAAATTGAGTTCAAATTTATAAATTAAAAATCAATTGAATTCAATCCAAATTTCAAATAATAAATTCAAATTGAATTTAAACTTTAGTTTTTTGTTGTATCAACTTGACTTGACCTAATTATATCTTTAAGTTAGCTTATTTCCATATGAGGGAATTGTTAAATATTGGTTAGAGACCATGAAACTTAATGTTTTAGCCTTTTTCAAAGGGGGATTTTGCTGTGAAGGGACCTTTGAAAAACCCTCCAGGACCATACCTAACTTTAGAGGCAAAAAAGAAAAGAACATCACTGGCTATGACACCGCAAAACTTCCTTGCTATACTAGTTTTTTTGATGGTATGCATATACCTTTTTGCTCGAGTAAACTTAAGAATAAAAGCAGTTTTTCTACAGAATTCGTCTCCATATACCTTCTTTTCCTTCTTTCGTTAAATTAATCTAATGTCAATGGTACAACTAACTGCATTTCTAGAAACCATGGATTCTTTTTGCCATCCATACCTAATTGTGCCATTGCTGGTTAGGGTTTAGTTTTTTTTTTTTTTTTTTTTGGGGGGGGGGGTGGTCACTATGGGAAAACAACCGATGAGTTGAAACTCATCAATTCGTTGAAAATTGAAATGTGATGCTGCCAAAAGAATGGACCATATTTTAAACTTAAAGCTTCATTGCCATCGAAGAGGAAGCAAGTATATCAAGGAATGTTTAAGAAAAGTAGTAATCTGAAAATATATGTAAATCAAGTGAATGGTTAGAAATATATGTAAAGAAGTACCGAAGAGATTTGCAGCTTTGAATTAATTAAGATTAGAAATATGGGAATCTTTTTCTTCTTTAATCAGAACAATTACTTAAAATTTCTATAGAAATGTCATGAATTCAATTTTAAAAAAACTATTTACATCCCTAAACTAATCTAGTATTTTTTCAATTAACAAAATCTAGAAAATGTTATGAATTAGGACGAACTGGATTCTGGTGGATGTTTTTTCTTTATGTTGGGAAGATATATCACGAAAATTACTTGTAGTTCAGTAAATATATACTTTGCCAAAAAATGGCGAAGTCTCCTGCATGCTTGCTTTACTTTTAAATGTTTAATAGTACCCTACAGCAATTAACCTTTGCATAGTTCAGATGGCATGTATTCTGAATATATTCTTCAAGGTTAAGAATTCTAGAAAATTTAGACATGTGCATAATAATTTTCAATGAATTAAATAAGAATTAGAAGATTAAAAGGAAAAAAATTGGCATACATTAATGCAATTCACACTGGGTTTATTCTCGGAAGGATCAAAGTCTAACTTTTGTTTATCCACTGCACAACTTTAACCTTATTTTCTTGTATGCAAAGAACAAATTAAAGTGAACCAACTAGATATGAATGAATTGCAATTAGTCTCCTAAACTTTACTTTATACTTTTTCCTCAAGTAAATTTCACAATTGATCATCTTAATTAGATCCCTGATTTTCAATTTATCTTAATAAAATCACTTAAATTTATTACATATATTAAATTTAATCACTTTAGCAGATTTTATTCAAATTATTGATTAAAAAAAAAAAAAACATGATCTATATGTTATCTTCCACATCATCCACCACATCAACTAAAAATTTATTCATCATTTTTTTAGAGATATAAAGGTAAAAAAAAACACCACTTCTGCTTCCTCTTTATATCTCTAACCTAACCAATCCTCTTCCTTTTCTCTAACTACATCAACCAATCCTCTCCCTTCTCTCTTTCGGGTTAGTGGCTCATGCTGGCCTTCGGCAATCATTTGCTTTTTGTTAGTCTCCGAATTGCCCACCGAAAGCCATCCATAGGGAATTGATAAATAATAATATAATAATATGGCACATAAGCCATTTCAAAATTGTAAGCTTTACATAATGCTAGTGGAGAGAGTAATTAATATTATTTTGGGTTTAATCATTTCCTTGGCTATTGGGAGGAATATTTTGTTGTTTTCTTTTTAATGACAGAATGTTGCTTTGGATTGATAATATGACAGGGGGTTGCATCTTGTGTGATGGTTTTTTACTTTCTGGAAAATGGAATTTTTTGGTTTCTTATTTAATTTCGGTTACTTTGGTTTAATTTTCAAGTGTTTTTTTTTTCTCTAAGCCAAAGATAAATTATTATTAAAAATAATGAAACGGCTATAAATAATAATATTCAATCACAGTTAGAGCGCGCACAATAGAACACATAAAGAATAGAAACTCCAAAAGTGCATCAAAATCACATGAGAAATCCAAAAGTAAGATTGATAACAACAGTTTCGACTCTCACAAACATGTGTAATCCAACAATAAAATCCAAATATTAAAAATTCCAACTATGTACCATCAAAAAAAATCTAAGCTACTTCTTTCATCATGTTACTTACCCAAATTGGAAAGAGCATGTCTCATTTGACTAGCATACTCAAACAAGCATTGCATTTAATTTAATCAATATTATAATCTTGATTCCAATCAATTTTAAACATTTTTACATTGGCATGCATGTAATGAACCAACATGCATGACTAAATAATTAATGCAAAGGGTGTCGAAAAGAACAGAAAAACTGTTGAAGTTTATGAGATTTGGTTTGAAATACGGTTTCTGCTAAAACTAAACCTTTTTTAACAGAAAAGAAACTTGTAACTAACTGAAAAAAAATTATAAAAAAAATGTCAAATAGGTTAAAACTTTTTGAATATTTTCTATAAAAATAGAGATAATAATAATAAATCCATGCTTGGGCTTCGCATTTTCAATTCTCAGCGAGTCATAAGCTCTTGGGCTTGCGAGTGTTTGACCCATCACCGACTGTCCCATTGTTCAGCTGGGAGGGTGTTGCTTGGGTTTGAAAGCAGGCATTGCTTTTAATCCTGGGGCAGGCCTAAGTCTTAATAGAATTAAAGCCCAACAATTTTTTTTGACTTAAACTATGGTAATATGGAATGGGACAAATACATATTCAACTTGACCAAGACAAATATGGTTATCCCATTAGGAAAAAAATGCGCTGGAAACATATTTGCCAGCTCGGGAATTGTAGCATTAATTTAGGAGAGATGTGAATTAACCTTACCTGACAGGGCGGGGTTGATTTTATTAGTACTAAATCTGACTCCATAAACTCAATTTTAGCTTTAAAAAATGGTGATTAATTAAATAATTAATCCCCATTAGATTCAAAAAACAAAAGGAAGAAATAATTAAATGGTGAAAATTGAAAAACCATATTACATTTAACCAATAGAAAGAAAGTAATCCCAATTAGAGTCACTTAAATTAACTAATTAATCTTAATGATATTATTTTCAAAATTTTAATTTAATGATTAAAAACATTTAAAAATTTAATTTCGAATCAAATCTTTTTTTTTATTTATATTAAAATTTTATCCTCAAAATAAAATATAAAAAATCTTAACGATGTTATGCCGCATTAGTTGACCAAGCATGTGAAGCAAAAAATTAGCATCGGATTCTCGTAAATATCATGGAATTTATTATTATTATTATTTTGAGAAAAAGAATTGGACTCTGATTTTTTTACAGAGCCGATATGATTAGGTATGGTTTTTATGATTTATTAATATTAAGATATTCAAAAAAAAAACTCAATGTATGATATCCTTTTTTTTTATGCATATATGATTTGTTTTAGTGTAAGAAGTTTGAACTGGAGCAATCTGTGCAAAGCCAATCCACCTTTGCCTGTGGAACACAAGGGACTTATTTCTGCCATAATCAAATCAAATTAATTCCACAAAATAATTAATCTCCCACAAAAACATGTTGTCAAAAATTAGAATGATTTTTTTTTTAACAACAAAATTTAAAATTTTTATAAAAACATTTTATATTAATTGATCATGTATAAATGTACTCCATCATCTATTTATACACAAAATTCATTACCAAAAAAATGAATTATACGCCGAATAAGAAAATCATAGATTAATTATTAAGCCGAATATTGCTGATGTCAAGATTTGACTTTTCTTTAACAACAATCTTTTAGCTCCTTTTAGTTTTTCAAGTCAAGTTAATTACATTTTTTATACAAAATTAAAATTTACAATTGATTTGCACATTAAATTTTAAATAAATAAAAAAAACATTATGATTCACATTAAAAAAAAAATCATGCAAATTCTCTCCCTTTCTTTATTGAAATAAAGCACTAGTACTACTAGTGCATAGTATATCAGAAAGTGGTAGCACTAAAGAAAAAGCAATCAAATAAAATTCGATTTTATCTTTTGCCCATTTATCCCAATTTAAAAACAAAAGATCGAATAAGCGTAGGCAAAAGCAAGACATTGATGTTACTATCAATATGTCTAGGCAAAATCGAATAAATATAACAAAGAGACATAGATGACGTGTCCACCAAACTCACAAGCTTCATGGAAGATAAAAAGTGCGGTCCGGCTAAGGCTAAAAGGAGAGTCCTAGTGAGTAAGATAACATCATTTTCAGCCTCTATTTTCAAATATGCTTTGCTTGGCAAAAGAGCAAAGAAAAGAAAAAACAATAAAGGAAAAAATCAGCTTTCCCCCTCCACGACTGGTACTTCCGATACTTTCCATTCCTACGTTTAAAAGAGAATAAGAAACGAAAAGTAGTGATCGAAAATCAGCCGTTCCCTTGGAATCAAAGCATTAGGTATATGTAATTTTCAATTCCAACCAGAAGATTCCCCAACACTCCCCCCCCCTCTTTTGAAAATAATAGAATTGACCTGAGAATATATAGTACTAGTCAATCGCTTATTCAGCAGGCAGATTCACCAAAGTCTATGGCCAATCGATTAATCGAATTGCTTCAGCTAAAGTAAGCACAACAATCAATCAACTTTGATGCAAATTATGTCAAATAAAACTTCATTCCAAATATAGTATCTTAAATATGAGAGGATGAGAAAAGAAAAAGACTATCAAAATTCTTCAACAGATCAAGGCACTTTTCTCAGACAGCCGAATCCCTTGGACGGCTCTGTAGCTCAAGAAAAACCAAAGGATTTTTCATCCCCCAGATGAAGAGGGCTCATTACTCTTTTAACTCAGCAAACAAATAAATTAAACCCACTCACAAAAAGCACTAACCCAAGAAGTCACTTGGAAAGTCCCTGAGATCTGTTCTACCTTCGATATTAATCAAAAGCTTTAAATAATGAGGCTTTATAATATTATATTTATACTACTAATTCCTAACTGCAAAACTTATGAGCAGGCAATGTTGAGGGAGGCTACTTCTTCGCCAAAATGAAAGCCGTCAATGCTGAAATCACAATCAGGTAGCTCACTTGGCTCATCGGCTTCGATCCCACAAATACTGAGGTCTTCAATGCTGCAATAGTCCTTCAACATCATCCCAAAATCATTGACGAACAGATAATCAGCAGGCTCTGCATCAAAGTTAAGTTCTAGTCCAACTGAACCAGACAGCAATGGATCATCAATGAAACAGAAATCGGGTATTGTTAAATTGGCAAAGTTTGCATCAAACCCTTCTTTGTTGGCATCCTCACAATCACCATTGTTATTGGAGACTGAAAAAACAGATGCAGAAGAATCCGGTTCAAGCACTGATGATGACCAAGTATGTGATAAAAGGCTCTCAGACTCTTCAGATGTAGAAGGAATAGAGTTGTTGTTAGAAGAAGCAGCAGAACATGCTATGTCATTGGTTTTATCAGAGGAAGCAGAGGCAGCAACAGCCAAAGCCTCAAATTCGAGCTTTTTGGCATCATAAGCCTTGGCTGCTTCTTCAAGGGTGTCGTAAGTTCCCAACCAAATCCTGGTTTTCTTCAGTGGGTGCCTGATTTCAGCAGCCCATTTGCCCCATTTCCGTCGACGAACACCAACAGGTTTTTTGGCCTTAGCCACCAGATCATTGCCTTCAAGGGTTTTCCTCAAAACGTTTTTCCTACGAGAAGGGGTTTTAGAGTTACTGTCTTGAGAAGATGTCTCAGATTCAAGAGGGTTTGACTTAGGAGCCAAACCAAAAACAGGAACTTTAATTTCACGAACAACACGCTTGCCCCTTGGGGCCTTTCTAGCAACAGTTCTCTCAGATTCATCTTCACTTGAAGATGAATCAGTAGCATAAGGATCATGAAGGATAACACGAACTTTTCTAGTCATTTGGGTTTCTTCTTCACTCAAGATTGGTTGGATTTTCTTGGACTTTGTGCAGGATTTATTGAGATTCATGGATTGTTTTCGAGGCTCTGGCATTTTTGGCAGCAAAACTGGTTAAAACTCGCCAAAATCCCCTCTAAACTACCCGGAAAGTTGTGGACAAAGATGTAAACAAAATCAAGGGACAAAAAAGAAAACAAAATCTTAGACCATCAAAGCAACATCAAGTATGAGCCCCTATTAGAAACAAGAAGAAATAGAAAAGTCGTTGTTTTATGTAAAAACCCCCAAAAAAATCTACTCCAGAACAAGTCCTGCAAATAAAATGAAAAACAAACGGATATCAACATACCAAAAACACCCAAAATAATCACAAAAAACACCAGATTCAGATCAAAAACAGAAATGAAAAAAAGAACTAAAACATGGGTTTTAAATCAAAAGGCAGGGTTTATTTGTTGACATACCTTTGGGGTCTCAAACGCATCGAAACAGTAAGGAACGTAAGACACAGTCGCTGCCTGGAGTAGCAGAGAATCATACAAGAAACAGCCAACAAAGCAGTGGTGGACAAGTGAGAAAAAACAATTGTAGAAGATGAAAGCCAGAGCTGCAACTGAGCCCCAATCAAAGCCAAATCAAACTCAGCCGACATAAATCCACTAGTCACTCTCCCTTACTCTTCGAAAGCGCAACAAGAGCCTCCACCAGAGAACCAAAATAACGCACTCTGCCTTCTCCCCTTCTCAGAGAAACCAAAGCCAAAACATTCGTCTTAGAACAGCTACATATAGCAGGTCAAAAAATAGAAAAAAATAATAATAAAGAATTACAAATCTACGGCTCTGATTTATCTCCCTCTAACACTATCTCTCTTTTAGGCGAATTTTATAAATAATAAAAAAAGTTTAAATCATATTTATTTATGGAAATTGTTGAAAATGAAAATGAGCTGTCATGCACATCCATCATGCATAACCAGACCTTTTCACCTATATTTCCATGACATGCATATTATGTTTCACTGCTCAAAGTCATTTTTTATTGGTAGGAGGTTTTCAACGTACATTCACTCGCAATTGTTTCGACGCTCCAATCGACGGTGGCTTCAACTTTGTCGCCTTGGGTTCGGCGGGAACATAGCGCGTTCATTACACGGTGGAAGTCAGCTGCTGGGGATAGAGTGTGTGATATCCGCAGCTTTATATCGTAAACGAAGCGCCGCGAGTCGGCGACGTATAGGGAAGGACTCTTAGCCTATCGCTGGATTCTCGTAATATTTGGGTCTAGAACTCTAGTAAATTACAATGTTGCCACTCAAAACAAGTGACGAGTCTTTCTCCCCAAATTATATTCTAGGATTCGTTCGTTTTAACTTTTTCTTTTTCTTAATTTCATTTTTGACCTTTTTTTAGATTATTGTAGAAAATCTCCGTATTTTTGCAATCAATATAATAAAATGAGATTATTCCATAATCAAATCAAATTTTTATTTTTCTTAATTATCAAAATTTTGAGAGATTTATTTCTATTTTTGTTCGGTACAAGAGAATTTTTATGATGATTGTCAAATAATATTTGCTTACACTTCATTTCATTATTTTTTTTAAAACACGTGCTAAAACTTCATTCTTCATAAACTGAGACAATCGTTTGTAACAAAGGTTTTTATAAAACTATGGACATTCATCTATCCAGCATCTAGGTTCTTTATTATCTAACGCAAATTTCGCTAACCTATGGACATGTACAAAAATTGAAAGGTATATTTTTTATTTTTATATTTATTTAAAAATTATGTATTATAATTTATTTATCATTAATATAAAATATTATTATTAATATCAAATATTTCGTATTTTTTATGTTAATAAAATACAAATTTTTATTTTTTTATATTATATAAATAAACAAATTGTCAAGTAATAGGCAAAGGCCTCAGATCCACGTGATCATTTTGGGCATGACGGCAACGGCCCTTCAATTCTATAAAAAAAAAAAGTGTCGGAAAAAAAAAATTTTAAAAGTAGAGAAAGGAGACAAAGTTACTGCAAATATGCACTTTCCTTGCAATTGCAGGCGAACAGTACACCTCCTAAAATTGCATTGAAGAAAGGCCCCGTAATAATCCTTATCATCATCTGGCCGACGCTGGTCCTCCATTCGCGTCGATTGATGATGTTTTGAAGTAGACCGAAAATTTAGCGGTTTTGGCGGGAAAGAGTAGGCGGTTAGCTCCACGTCAGCTCCTTTGGCGGGAAACCTAAGCTACCCTCTCTCGGCCCACTCATCTCTCACTTGGCCTGCTCCATAAACTAACCCCGAACCACTCCTCCCCCCGCCTTTTTTAAGTTTTCAGTCAACATACATGCATGCATGATGCATGCGAGTTACCATCACCATCATCAACATGAATTTAATTTAAGACTGTCACACTAGTGGAAGGGTGAGGTCACGTGATGACAAATATCCAATGGACAGAAACTTTTTTTTTTTTGGGGCAAGTATGGAGTTGCGGTTGGTGGCGACGTAGGACAAAGATCTCAGTGCTGTCTTGTGTTTTATCTGTAGCATATTAAAATAGTAATTCTACTACTATATATTTTAATTTTGGTAGTATTTAGCAGACTAATATTTTAAAAGATAAAAATTTAAATTTTTAATTCTTATAAAATGTTTTATTTTTTAAAAAAACTTCTGCATAATAATAAGAGATAATTAGGATGGCTGTGGAAATGATATCTCTTAACAAGAATCAGTTCCAATTAATCGGTTGAAAAAGGTTGTGGATATCTTTATACTAAATGGACTCATACATGAATTTTGGTTTGGCTTAACGGGCTATTTTCTTTGCCAGGAGTTTAACTTGAAAGTATAAGATCATATAAAAAGAAGTAAAAAAGTAAAATATTAAGTTGATTAATATTGAATTTTTTCAAAAAAATTTTGGGATTGAGGGTGGTCGGAGTCAAAGGGGAGAGTGAGTTGATCTCTTCAAAGCGGAGAAAGGAAGAAACTGCAATTTAAATTAACACACTAAATAATATAGGAAACCTCAATTTTGAACAACAATGTCAATGAACAACCTCTAAGCATGCAATGGAGATTTAATCAGGCGTCATCCTTGTACCCCATTTTCCAAGACATGGCGAAGTTCTTTCCTACAGGTAAATCCAAACCTGTAACCTCAACCATCAAAAACTTCTTCTTGCTTTGTCCATCTTCAAGATCTTGCAGATGCTTCTGTTCCAGGGAGCTCAATTCTATGTTCAAAGCAGCAGGGCCTACAGGACTTCCATTAATTTCGAGAGCAGGCGTGTCTCCGCTTCCACTCAATCCCAGCACAGTTACCTTCTCAATTATCCAACCTTTGTCTAAAGCAAACTTGCCCTCCTCAACTTTAGACCAAATCTTCACAGATCCCTTGTTCACGGTCGCATATAATTCTACATACGTTGAAAACCCGTTTCCAAGTTTCATTTCTGGAAGTTCGTCATTGTCAAGATAAAGGTTTCCTTTGGCTTGTGCTTCGCTAGCCCCAGCAGGGAAAGTCACTATAAGAGTGAATGGTGTCATTCTAGCTTCCTTGGAGATCATTCCACCCTGCTGCATTGGTAATATGGTATTCTGATACAAATATACATTAACCACATGCAAAGGTGCATCTAGCGTAAAATACTGTCCCTTTGAAACAATGGTTTGTTTCATATCAAAGACATTATACCAAGAACCTGGGGGGAAAAGTGCTTTAACTTTTGTTTTCCCCTGCTCAAGCACTGGAGACACCATAAGACTGTTTCCAACCAAGAATTGGGTGCTCAGCCCATAGCACTCCTTGTAAGCAGGAAATGCGAAGAAAAGTGGCCTGGCTATTGGTGCTCCACTCTTATGAGCCAAATAGTTCAGGGTATAGAGGTAAGGAAGAAGTTTATACCTCATACCTAGGGCATTTTGAGCAGATTTGATTACAGACTTCCACTGATACAGCTCCTGTCTTGGCGAGAAGTAATCTGCATGATTCCTAGCAAAAGGGTAAAACGCACCTACTTCAATCCAACGGTTACACAACTCTTCCGTTGGATCTGTTGGAGCAGAAAAGAAGCCACATATATCGGCACCAACCATTGGAACCCCAAATAAACCAAAATTCAGCACAGTAGTTATTGAATACTTCAAATCTTCCCAAATAGCCTTAGTATCACCTGTCCAATGAGCAACATATTTTCCTGAACCAACATAAGTCGAGCGTGACAATATAAATGGTCGTTTGCCCTCAAGCCCTAAAAGAGCCTTGTAAGTTGCTATGGATTGAGAAAAGCCATAAAGACTATGAGCATCATACTCTAAAACACCATTGTAGTGAACTGCGCTACTTGCAATAGTTTTGAACCCTAGTGGTACCTGCAACCCTGAAGCATTTATGTTGTATGGTGGATCATCCCATCTTGTCTTTGTTATGTTCTTGCAGTCCAAGCAACAGATCCAACCAGGTCCAGTCACATTTGGACACTGCTTTCCTTTTGGAATCGTGCACTTCCCACTGCAGAAATTTGCAGCTTCATTCATATCAATCCAAAGCCCATCAATAGGGACAAGTTCATGAAAGCGTCGAATTTCATCACCCCACCATGCAACAGTTTTAGGGTTGAGGAAGTCTGGGAAATTAACAGCTCCAGGCCACACTTGGGCCAAGTAGGGCTCACCTTCATGCTTGATAAATACGTCATTGGCAATGGCTCTTTGGTATACACCATAACTGGAATTAACACCAATTCCAGGATCATTAATGACAATGTATTTCATGCCTATGCTATGTATTTTGTCCAGGAATGCAAGAAGCTTTGGACGAGGGAAGTTGATGGGGTTGAGGGTGAAGTCCTTATGGTAGTCCATATGATCAGCATCATTCCAGATCACGTCAAGTGGGATCTTAGCTTTCTTGTAGTTCTCAACGACATCTTCAACTACAGAGAGATTATGGTAACCCCATTTACATTGGTGAAACCCTGTACACCAAATTTATACAAACCAAAAATATGAATTTATTATATTCATCTCAACTGCTCACGGTAAGATACTGAAAAAGAAATGTGAAAAGAAAAAAAAGAAGACATTCAAGCACTCTCCTGTTAAATGAACAGATTTAGCATCAGTACAGCAGAAGAAAATACTTGAGTTAGTCAGACTAGCTCTAAAGCCACTGATAGTGCAACCTTCACTTAATAGAAGAAAAAGAAAATCTAATGACCAATTGTATTTGTTGCTCTCCTCTTTTTAACATGGTTCCATTTTTTCACAAAAAATGAGGAAACAGGCCCATATCAGTATTGGGATGAAATTTTGCAGCAAAAAGATTGTAATGGTATAAAAATCCAGGAAATTTCTAGCGACATCTAAATTACACAACTGCACGGATTTTCCCATAACTCAAGTAAATATGTTACCGTGCTACCTACAATCCATGACAGCAACTGCACATGCTAGTGCAAAAGTACGATCACATTAGTCAAATCGATGATGAGATATTTATCACTTGCGAACACATTAGTCAATTGGATGATGAGATATTTATCACTTGTAAGCTGTGTCATAGGACATGCCCAAGCAACTATTTATTGTGCAATTAGATCTGTTATACATGATGCCTTTGCTGAGGGAATAGGAGCAGAAGTACTAGTTTTTAATTTTGATCATATATCTACCGACACAAAAGGTGATTTAACATGAAGGGCAGCACACACTAGTTTATTTTAGATACCTCACAGGCTAAGGAGTCTAACCAAAGCTTTGAACCATATGTAACAAATGCTAGAGGGTGCACCTATCTATGGTTAGCATCAAGTTAGGGGCTACTAAGTAATTATCACAGCATTTTGATATTTCCATATATTAGACAAAAGTAATTATCACAGCATTTTGATATCTCCATATATTAGACAAATAGCAGATATAATCATGCCTCCAGCTGATTAAGAGATCGTATCAGCAACCTACATTGCCCTAAAAGACACAATCAGATGGCACTAATTTCCCTAGATCTTGCCTGTCCCTCCTCATTACATCATTTACTATATAATCATACAATGTAAGATTGCCTATTATGATTCCAAATTACGCAGCATATGGTTTATTAATGCAACATCTATCACCAAAATCTAACCTTTTAATAAAAAAATGAAGAATATAGTCATATCACAAATATTTTATTAGTCAATTCAATTGGATTTAGCTTCAGTCCTCTGTCACATTGTAGCTAGGACTGCAGAGGCATCTAATTCCGCCAATTTCCTTAAAGGATCCCATTTAGTAACAAATTAAACCCAAGACAATACCCAGGGCGAAGAACAAAGCATAAACTCAATGCCAGAAAAACAGAAGAAAGAAAAATAAAACTGGGAGAATGGAAGGCATACCTAGAGACCAGTAAGGCATGGGAGCAGGCCTGCCGATAAGAGAGGTGTATTGATCAACAACGGCAAGGGGGGTGGGTCCAGCAAAGAAATAAAAATCAAAAACACCACCAATAATCTTATACGTTAATGAATTCCCTGTGTAAAACACATCCATGCCATTGCTGTTCAACAAGAGAACAGCATGTGCAAAAGGCTCACCGCCCACATTCCTTAAGTCCATATAAACAGGGTGGGACCCGTACAATCCAGTGTTTAGATTAGCAGGCGACTTATCGGTTGTGTACAATGTGTAAGGGTCATTTGGATACAGCTTGATTCCATGCGGTTGAGTGTTCTCCCCAAGTCCATACAGTGAAGCATCTTTAGGCAACTGAGTGGAAATCTCCAAGTACTGGTCTTTAAACACCATTTCTCCAAATGAATCTGAGCCACCCGAGCTGGAATTGAAAAGGGTCTGTCCATTTGATTTCCTTTTCACTGCAAAGCTAAAAGGGTCAGTTGTGTAGCTGAATATGAGCTCAGACCCAGCAAGCTCTGAGACTGTTATAGAGTGCTTTCTTGTTCTCCTAGTAGTTTGTTTTGATGCAGCTGGTTGCTCTCTTGGTAAAAGATTGTATGGAACTTCCCATCTCTGCTTCTTGGCATCTGTTATGTGTACTCTCAAACGGTCTTGAGCTTCATGCCTGTAAAAGAAAAGGAACAAATTTTGATTAAGAAACAGTTGGTTTAACAGAGAGCAAACATTAAGAGGAATGTACTTGCAAAACAAGCAAACATTAACAATGGACTTTACTGATTTTTACTCACTTGATATAGAGTTGCAGGAGAGGAATATCAGGACCATAAATTTTGTTCTTTTGCTTAACCTGAAGGTGACCCAGAAAGCCACCATCAGGGGTCTTTTCAATGGAGATCAAACGGTAGCCTTTGCCAATCTTAGTGCGGACAGAGGAGGAAGATGAATACCCTCCGGCGAAACATGATACTAAAACAAGAAAGAAGTAGAGGGAACTCAATGAAAGGAATGAATTTAGGGACAACATTCCTTAAAAGAAGCAGAGTGAATGAGTGAGTAAAGCAAAGAGAGTAAAAGGACTATTTAAAGACTGAACGAAGAAAGCGAAGCCATTGGATATGCATGAGTGGGATGATTTTAGTATCTTCGACACGTCCTCGGGTATTATCTCATTCTTTTTCTGGTACGGAAAATTTGTATCATCATCTCTTATCAGGTACTAGTAGATAATTGATAACAGAAGTTGGATCAGCTAGAATCCAATGCAATTCATGAATCCTAGTTTGTTCAGCTCCAGATTCAGTTTTCAGAAATCCTGAGTGACCAAATATTTTAACAGGAAGATCTCAGACTTAAATTATTTTGATTCTTGGGGGCTTCAGCCGCACCTTAAGTGCTTAAACTCCCAAGTCCCAACAAGTACCCCGAAAGTTTAACTTTTACTACCTTTGTCATGGAAAAAGAAAGGGGAAGAAGCCCTTTTAAGAATGCCAAGTAAAAAGAGAATGAACAGTTATTCCATAACCAATTGTGAGTTGTGATTAGGTTGTAAAAGATATTTAAAACTCTCGAGTTATTCGAATTACATTTGAATAAAATTTGAATTTGATTATGTTATTATCTAGTTAAATTTGAATAATTTAATTTATTAATCAAGTCAAATTTAAATATTTTTATACATAATTGGAGTAACCTATAAGCTTAATTAAATTTTTATATTTTAATATGTTTTAATTATTTTTATTTAATAAAATATCTCAAACTCGAGTTCGAGTTCGAATTTAAATACAAATAATTAAAATTTTGTCAAACATAAAATTTAAATATTTTTATATATAATTGGAATAATTTGTAAGTTTAATTAAATTTTTATATTTTAATATATTTTAATTATTTTTATTTAATAAAATATCTCAAACTCGAGCTCGAATTCAAATTCAAATACAAATAATTAAGTTTTTGTCAAACATAATAATCAAATTTATTTTTATATATTAATCGAGTTTAATCGAACGAGTTTGAATAGTTTAATTTTTATCTTGAGTCGAACTCAAATTTAAAAAATCAAATTCGATTGAATTCAAACTAAATTTCAAATCTAAAATTTTAAATAGAGCTTGAACTTAAATTTAATATCATTTCGATTCGAAGTCAATGAATTACATCCTTAATTGTGACACAACTTTAAATCCTACCTTCATAGTATGGAAACTATATTAGGAACTTCTTCAATAAGGTTAGATGATGATCTAACTTACGAACAAGAAAATCAAGAGTTAAAAATTGCTTATCTGATGTTTAAATGGGAGAAATTTTTTTCAACACATAAGAAAATTTTTAAAATTTATCTAACACATAAAATATTTCTTAATTTTAGGCTATTTATAAAAAATATAGATTTAAAATTTTATTTAATTATCCAAAACTTTTTAAATTTAAATGAATGATCACTTCTTATATATTATTTAGTTATCCAAAATATATATCTTAATAGATAATTTTTAAATTGTTAGTAATAAAATCTAATTTAGATATATTATTTTTTAAGATTTTTTAATAATCTAAACATATATCTTTTTAAATTTAAATTTTTCATAGATATATTATCCTTTAAAATTGATTTATAAAATATTACATTTAATAAATTATTTAAATTCAAAACGAAAATCTATGAAAATTTGAAAATTTTGAATTCAAAAATATCAAATTTAGATTTTTTTTAAAATTTAGCCAAAGTTTAAGATATATATGCATTATAAATTTTAAATACATATCTCCACTAAAATTAATTAGATTTATCTTTTATTAATTTGAATTTAAAAGACAAGTTTTATTTTTTTTATTTCTTTATCATTATATTGTTTTCATCTCTTATCTAAAATAACAATAAAAGGCGTCAAAAAAAAATTTTTTATTGTTTGACTCGTAGTCACAATCATCCATCATTTTTTTGTTTCAGAAAAATTATAATTTGTAACAATATCATTTATATGTTTGTAAAATAATCAATTGATTTGTGTTTTGTTGGATGATTCGCAAGAAGAACTAAAAATTCAATTATTTAAGATAAGAGCTAAGGATTAAAGACTTTTTTTTTATAAATATTTACCTTTATATCAATGTCATTTTTCTACAAATTGAGCAGTAATTTGATAATTAATAGCAACCAAATAACAAGGTATCATATTATATAATATAAATGGCCTGTTAATTATTACTTTTTATTGTTCATAATTTTTTATATTTTCTCCTCATCAAAGTTATAACACTCATTTTATTTATAAAAAATTGAGATAAATTGAAATTCAATTTGATTTATATCTCTTTTATTTTTTTAGATTTCTTTTTCTCCAATATTATTTATTGTACATTTTAAATTTTATTAATTTTTTTATCTAAAATCTATTTTTTATTATAACTTGATATCTTAATTATATTATTTATATTATATATATATTTTAAACATGTAAATGATTAAATAATATTAATTTATATTTTTATTAATATTTAAATAAAATAAAAAAACGATCCGTACTTTGCATGAGTTGCAAACTACTTAGTTAAGAATTTCCAGTACTGATAAGGTGGACTAGTCGATGACAAAAATCTTCTTCGTATTATGCACACTAATTCCTCCTGCATTTCCATGAGGAAAAATGTCCTAAGTATTTTGTAAACAGATGTAAGAGCTCCCAAATTAATGCTACCAAATTCGCAAGAGAGGTAGAAGGTATGGCCACTGACCAACTTATCAAATATAATTGCCAATGGCTTTTAACCATATCCATGGAGCCAATCTCAACCTGATATCTGATTACTTTGTAATTTTATGGTAGCCAGATTATTTCATCTCCTTCCTAATGCTAATGCTCCAAGCTATGGATTGGCATGCCACTGTTTTGCATTTAACTTCCAGCGTTTCTTGACTCGGTCCTGACTCCTGAGGGAATATGCTAATTGATGGCATGCCATTATTGTTTTGCATTTAACTACCAGGAAATGCTTAATTCATTATTTGACTTCTTTGAATCATATTTAGTCATAAAAAAACCCAAGACGCTGCCAACTATCATGCCAGAGCAAACTATTTTTATTATTTCCCTTAATGATCATGTATTTTTATTAAGCCATCTAAACCTAATACTGATCTCATGTATTTTTCCTATAATTTTATCCAAGGGGATTCGAATTCACTGATTATTGAAGACTCAAATACGTGACTGCAATTCACTTGTCACCACAAGAAGGAAAGTAAAAAACGAACCATATATCGCTAAACAATTCATAGATTTTTCATGGTTTCCTTTCGAATCTTAATCGTCAGCGGCCTCGAAATGTGGGCAGTACCAATATAGATGAAATTAAGTGTTAAACTGGGCTAGCTGACAAGAACTCACCCGGTTCTTCAAAATGAATCCGTAAAGTATTGTCATGATTCATCGGGTTAGGTCAACACTTGATCATTTATCTACGTCAAAAAGGATCCTCCCAGTTGAGGAGGGCACAGCTGTGAGCAACCGTGTTCTACGAATTGGTTCCATTGCAACCTCAGCATCTTCGTTTCCCAACAAGATGTTCAGTTTTTGGTCCCATTTAGATTACTCACTCTTGCACGTGATCAATAAAGACATGTTTCTATAAAAATCAGATTACCAGCTTGACGTCATGTGAGGATCCTTAATATTAAACACCAACTATATTACTTTAGTTATATATTAGAACAATATACTACTTTGAACAATTATTACATCCATTTATAGAAGGAAACATGGAGCACTAGGATCTTCAGACTTGCCCACTAGTTAATATGGGCTGCATATATCAATTGAAGGAGTTGTATCTTAAGCCTGAAGTGCACCTCTTGGGCTTTAAGTTGAACTATGCTTGAACTCATATTTTTTACTAGTAAAGCCCTTTTGTACATGTGATTTTCAGTGCAAGCTAGTAATGATCACGAACCCATTGATTGGGTTAAGTACAACAGAGCGTAATAAACTTGATTAATGCAAGATTACCAATAGAATTTTGCCCCGCAGAACACAATGCCAAAAGCATATTCCTAGGAAAAGATCACATTAATGATACTTTGTGAAATAGACGCTATCTTGAAGGAACTTAAATATTCTTAAGATTGAAATTTTGAAGTCCGAGGAAGGTTAACATTCCTAGTAAAGGTCGTCTTCTTAGTTTCCCTATAATTAATGTTGTTCCTCCTTTTTGCTCTTTTTTTTTTCAACAAGCATATATTATTGTTACGCATGGGAAAAGCTTTTACAATATCTAGCAAAAGCAGAACATTCAACTTCCTCCTTTACACCTTGGCACGCATTTGTCGTTTCTAAATTTGTATTCTCAAATTCAAAAACAAACATCAAATTTAGGCACCGCCGATTTTGGCCTTTATTGGACATCGTATAATTCCTTTTATCTTAAAAGAATAATTTACCCTTATATAATTTATCTTCTTTTCAACTTCTCTAAGTATATATATAAATATATTCTCATGCAAATTTACTCCAAACCTTGCTTTGCCGTCCTTAATTGCACGACTCACCAAGCCATTGTTTGGACCGCCTTTAGGCTCGCTCTTTCCAAAGAATAAAATTTATATAAAATTTCATAAATAACATCATTAAGTTTTAAAAAAATGAGTAAATAAAAATTTTAATAAAATTAATAATATATAAAAATATTATTTATAATTTAAATTTAATTGATATCTATTTAATAATAAAAATTTTATCATTATTTTTATTAAAAATATTTATTTAATAAATATATTTAAAATTTTTAATTTTACATGTTTAATTTATATCATGAAATTTATTAATTTTAACTTTAATTTTTAATTATTTATTTTTAATAAAAAAATTCATCAATTTCACCGGCCTTTTCCGTCTCCAAAGCTTAACTTTACTCACATGTCGCCACACACCTGATGTCACCGGCCTATTACCATGACGTCAACCCACGGCCTCTCCCTTGAAAAAAAATCTATCATCCCCATTCAGATCTCGCCACGTCATGAAAATCTTCTCCAAGCATGTTGCGGTCAACATCCACCCTTTCCCTATATAATTAATATTGCCTTCTGTTTTGGCAAACTGAAAAACCGAGAAAGGGGGTGAGGACTTCTTAGCTGGACGGTGAGAGTGTGAAACGGAAAAAAGATGGAGGGGGAGAAGCGAAAGTCGGAGGTGAACGATGCCGTTTTGGGAGGGTCCCAGAAGAGGTCGAGAGAGGACGATAGCGGAAAGGAGACGACCGTGACTGAGGAGGAGGTGGAGGAATTCTACGCGATCCTCAGGCGTATACACGTGGCGATAAATTATTTCAGGAAGGGTAACGTTAAGGGCGACGTGCCCAACTTAACTGAGCTGGAAAGGGCGGAGTGGCTAAATTTGGGATCGAACGTTGAAGTAAACGGCTGTAAGAAGAAGAAGAAGAACGAGGAGGAGAATATGGGTTTGGACTTGAATGCTGATCCGGGTACGGGTTCAGACCCGTTTTAATTATTCATTTAGTCTTGCTGATATATCATAGATATTAGCTATATTATTATTTTTCTTTTTGAAAAGTTGGATGATTTTGGCCTCTTCAGTCTTCTAATTTTAATGCTATTTATAATTAATTTATGAAGAAATCATGGTATTGCCTTTCTTGCTATTTATTGAACTTTTTTAAAGTCATTAATACATTTTGATTGCTACTATTTCTCTCCCAACATCTTCACTTTTGCAATCTAATTTCATGATTGCTCAGCTCTGTATCATTAGAATTCAGGGACTATCTGCCTCCCCACAGTGAAACACTAAATTAATAGACTATTGCCTACTGTTGTTGCATGATTAAAAGCTTCCTGCATGCTTTGGAAGCAAAAGATTTTCACCAATTCCTTTGCAATGTCTAGCTAGGAGAAAGGTAATCAAGCCGGATAGTATGACACTGCGATGTTTGCAGCAAAGAAATTAATTTAAGTAGGGAATGTACACCTGCAGCGGGCTGGCTTCAAGTCTCTTCAACATCGAACAATTGTTTGGTTTACTGGACTGGAGTGGAACGATTATTTTATTCCGGGTTTACATCAAATTTGGATAGATTCTCTTGGTTGGTTGCTAATTAACTTGGGCAAAAAATTATTACTAATAAGAAATAGAAGGAATGGGATTCCCAATTCCAGTAGTGGCTGCGCCGCGTTTCTAAAGTTATTTCCATGACGCAAACTCATTACAACACCGCATCCGCCACCTTCCCAAAAAATGAAAAAACAATACTAATGAAAAAGAATAGTCTATAAATATATGCGAAAGCTGTTTTTTTGCCATGGAATCGGAGAAGAGGATGAGGTGCAAAGTAAGGAAATAAATTTTCAATAAAATTGTTAAAAAGTATATAAAATGAAAATCATAGTAATTAGAAATAATAGTCGAACTAAGTGAAGCATTAAAATTGGGAAAACCCACGATGCATGAATGAAACATTGTTTTTATTGTTATCTATGTAAGTTAGGTTGGCAGGAACATAAGGAGGAGTTCTACAATTATTCAGTTGAACGTTTTGCTGGCTTTTTACTCACTCCCAATCCCAAACATCTTACCAAATGCTCTTGAACGTACGCTTTGTTTCTTGCTTAGAAACAATCCGACTGTCAGATACTTTAACATCTTCCAAAACCTAAATGCTTCTTGAGATATCCATGGTAAGTTAACAACTTACGTAAGAGACTCACCGGGCTATAAAAGTAAAAAAAAAAAAAAACGGCACAAGCTGAAAGAGATTCCACTGATTCATCCAGTCTTCATTTATCACCACAAAAACAAAAACAAAAATGGATGGAATCTTGTGTTTCATCATGATGCAAGTGTGGGTTGGAAATCCAATTTCCAGCACCAAATAACTTGCAATGAAATTAAACTAGCCCATGTTTGGCCCTTTAGTTTTAGCCTTGCTACTTGTTTAACAGAAAGAACATGTCAAATGGGCATGCAATTAAACAAAAGCCTAAAAATTTGTGTCGTCCTTGAGGCCCTAAAAACAAACCCATTTATTTCTTGCTTCGGCCCAAATTTTCTTTTGTTGTAAAGGTTTTCTTCTTTTGTGTTTTAACATGTCAAATGGGCATATAATTAAACAAAAGCCTAAAAATTGATGTTGTCCTTCAGGCCCTAAAATCAAACTTTTTCTTGCTTTGGCCCAAATTTTCTTAAAGGTTTTCTTGTTTTGTATTTTGGGGCCGCCCCATTTATATTTAGAGAGTAGGGTATGTTTGTCGTAAAGGATACGAAACATTCAAAGAAGTCAACAACTCATGCCAGGTTCTCAAGCTACATAATCTCATCAGCATAATCAGCAGACAATCAAGCTTCAGCAAACTAAAGTCTACTTATTATTTGATTTTCAAACTAATTCAAATTCAATAGTGTAGATAACTTTATATAATCTGGTTTGGAGATAACTTTGTATACGTAACGCAAGGCAAATCACACCAATTGGCCTTGTCTCCGGCAGATCCCCGCTCTGATCTTCAGTCTTCCCTCATCATGTTAGTTGATTTCCTCTTTCCTTTTTATGAATATATAGTGAGAAATTTTGTTTACGATCATCTTAAATATAAATTCAGTTAAGATATGTAGATGAAAATTCATGAAATGAAAAAAATTACATATAATTGTATACGTCGAAAATCTTATATATGCTCTATATTTATTACGAAGTGGAGCATTTGCGATCATAATCGAGCAGCAAAACCTGGTACTGAGATTATGTTATGGATTTTATCGTATGATGTTATCAATAATAAAAAAAAAAGAATAAAAATCATGAAATATTACTTTGCAATTTCCATATATTTTGAATAAAAAGTTATTAGAAGTTTAATTCTTTGACAAAAATAAAAACCCTAAACTATGAGACGAATCAGCCGTCTAATACCCTAATTTGTACCGTTGAAAAAGCATGAAGCATGAAGCATGTTAATCAAATGATCCAATTTGTCCCTATAAGATAAAAGGACAAACAATCTTGTAAGCACTACTGATTCATTCCAAAATTTCAAGAATTGTTTCTTCAAATGATTTTGCCCCCTTAGCAGCCCAGCAAAACATCTACTCAGAAATTTCCAACTGCTAAACAAATTTGAAAATCAGTCACTAACTTTTGACTAAGCACATTTGACATAAGCCCATTTTGCCTTATTGTCAAAAAACAATTTGATAAATGATAATGTAAATACGTAAGACAGCACGCAACCCATGAAAACAAGAAGAAACCTAAGGATATTTATAAACTAAATTAAAATTGGGAAAGCCAAGCAATGTTTTCCCATAACAATCATATTTAGGTTAAGACAAAACCAAGCATACAATGTCAAATTAAATTAATTAATTAATTAACATTACCGACAAAGTTGAATTAAAGTTAGAGCTAGCTTTGGTTAGGACAAAGCCGTAAGCTGTCTAACTTTTGTCTGATTCAAAGTGTTGGAGCAAAAGAATTGGTGCTTTGATCGTGGCAGGCATGCTTATCCTTCTAATAATAATACAATAGATATGAGTTTTTGGTTTTGCTCTTTTTTTTTGTCTATTCTACAGCTAGTGGGTGGTGGCCATCGTATGAAGTTTGATTGGGGTTAGGCCATATGCCTCTTTTCCTATACCTTCTAGTTTCACATTTATATTCTTTGTCAACTTCTTTGAATTCTGATAAGACATCAGTCTATTTCACACGTTTTTTACGAAAAATGATAAGAGGGAAAAGGCCAGACTTCAACCATTTTTGCCATCGATAAGATCTAAAGTTTTTTAAGTCAATGATTCACACTTCAAAGTTCATATCCCGATGATGTATAGGAACCTGACAAAACGTCTAATACAGGGAAATTATAATGAAATAAAAAAGTTAATTATTAATTTGTTATATAAATTGATATTTTAAAAATTTATATAATTTACATCATAAACTTTTCAATTACATTAAATATTAATTCAAATTTTAATATCATTAATTTAATTAGTTTCTGTGAGTGATATTTTATCAAAATTATTCAATTAAGTATTTGTCACACAAAATTATTAACATCCTTTTGAACGTTAATTAAAAAAGTATTTTATTTATTTAAACATTTAGCTAAAATAAACTAACTATTGATTATTTTGTGATATTCATATAAAATTTATGCAAAATTTTATAAAATGTTTGATACGTTTTATTTAACAAATAATATTCATATGATAAAAATCTAATGGTTATATGTTATATAAAGGAGGTAGTTTAAAAGTAAGATTTTAGATTAACATACTATATTATTTAAAAGTTTAATATATAATTTTTTATAGTAAATTGAATATTAATCTTTTTAAAGTTTATATGAAAAAAAAATGTAATTAACTCGAAAATGAAACATCGGCCGTTGAGGCAAGCGGGATTTCGGCCTTAATTAGCTGCACCCCCGAAGGCCACCGTGCTGCCCCGTCATGTCTCTCTCGCAAACGAACCTAAAACCCAAGCCTAGGAGGGCAAGAAAAGTAGCTGTATTAAAAGTCTAAAACGAATTTTCGCGATGATCTGAAATACAGTTGGGCAGCTATTTTCCTCTGGACTTGGAAAAGCTTTGGGTCAAGCCATTAGCCATCTTAAATGGAAAATTAGTGAAAGAGAAAAGTATAGGAAGATTCGGTAGAAATTGCTTTTTAGTTAGGAATTTTATTGATTCAAAAAATAGTGAAAGGGAAACATAGTTTATGGGTCCATTTCAATACCTTATATTTGGTATTTATTTTTCTTTATTTTATTTTATTTTATTTCAAGTTAGAAGTGATGCCTGTTTCCTTGAAAGCTAAGCATATCATGCAGAAAATATGATGTATGGACCCTTTACTAGTCTTCCCACTTGAATGAACATGTCTTTTTTGTGTAAATGTCAATGTTTTAAGTTATCATGTCGGAAAAGAATAGTCCACGAAGATTTGTTCCCCTCAAATTTGGATTGGAATATTTTACACGAAAGGATAAATACTTTACAAGCAATGAAGTGATATCACCTAATGCCTTTGTGAAACTTGTAGTGAACGTTAAACACGATAAAATCAAAAGCTTTGAATTGCAATGGATTAATATTATAAATAATTTTTAAATTATTATGAAATATTAATATATTTATTGAATTTTAAAAATTTTAATGTAGTATTTGAATTATAAATTTATTAATTAATATAATAATTAAAAAATTATTTTTATATTATGTGTCATTATTTGAAACTGATGATATTAACATAGATGAGATTTATAACATGTATTATATTAAAAAAATTTTAAATTCAATAATTATATTAAACATTTCATATAAATATTTTTTTTATATGAATAAGATTTAAATTTACATGAGAAGTTGTAATTAAATATTAATCTCTTATCATCTTAACGACTATGCCGCTAATGAACGTGCCTTGGGGAATACTACTTTCTTTTTCTTTTCTAATGCAAAAGAATAAATCACTTGTTCTATATGTTTTTCTCTTGTTGCTTCTTTTGGCAGTAATTGTTTTCCAAGTGGGCTATTGAGATTAAGGAATTTAGATTTTCCTATGCATTCAACATACGAAGTTTGTGAACAAAGAAAATTGAACATGCATTTTCAAAGGATTTTTTGCGTTCGAATTTTGGATTT